TAGCTTTTCTTATGCCGTAAGGAAATTTGTAACTACTTCTTTTAGAAAATAATATTTTAAATCTGAACTAATAGAAAATTTCAAACAAGCAATTTTCTCTTGCAATTTTTATGCTTTTTATTGGTGTAAATAAGTAAAAAAATACTAAAATATTTAAAAACGAATTTTTGAAAGTTTTGTCTAAAATTCTAAATTGTGCTGCTTTGTTAAAATTATAGATGAATATTACAGCACAATTTCCGTAAAAGAATTTTATTTCAATTATATTTCATAATACATCATAGTGATAAACACTTTTGACTCCTGAATAATTTTTATACATTTAATTCTAATATTAAAATTGTATTTAACCGTAATAATTAATTTTGCTTGTATTTTATAGTGATTATTTTTTTAATTTATTTTTAGTTCTGCATAAGATTTATTTATTTATTTATTTACTGTTAATTTAATTTATTAGCCCAAAGGGGCAGCAGCCTAGAAAGGCTGTTAATTTCGAAGCGGCATTTTGCGCTGTTTTACTGTAAATGTCCATGTCTCCTTGCAAATTGTTTTTACCAAATATTATCGCCCTGTACAGTCAAAAGTCGTTAATTCGGACACCCATAATACGGAATGATCTATAATCCGGACCTCAAAGCTAAAATCTTTCTGCACATGCGCCGCGTTGACGCATGCGCATAGGCGTTTTACGCGTGCGCGCAAGACATTTACGACTGCGCATATGTGTCTGCGCAAGCGCAGAATACGTTTTCGTGTGCGCGTTTATTGTAAAACGGACGGTATAAGCTAAAATGATCTATTTCAGTTAATGTTGATGATTGCGTTGTTCCTTAATCTTCGAATTGGATCCGGCTTATTATTTTTTGCAGACTGTAAGAGCAATTTTATAAAAATAAGCTTGAACTTTCGATTATGTCAAATAGAATTTCCGATGCTGGAGCTCCCAAAGGATCTAGAAAACGAAAGTATGCTTCGATGTCCATGAAACATAAAACGAATTGCTATAAAAAATGGATAAAGGCATATCTTTTGTTTATCTAACGGTTCCGAAATCTGTTTATCAATTTCACGCTGCTCTGCGCGGGGGGGGGACGTCGCGGCGCGCAATGAACTGGAAGTTGATTTGTCAGCACTATCGTTATCTTTAGGGCAGATGTTTTTATTTTATTCGGCTTATAATTCCTTACTAAATGTAGTATTTAATCTCGATGTACTCCGTCTTTGATATGATTTAAATCAAATTCCTCGTCATTATAAATATCATTATAAATATCACGAATACAAATCAAATAGTTTTCTGGTTGCAATTTTCTAATTTCGGCTATGCGTAAGGTATGCTTTACGCATGCGCGCGCTGAAAGAAATGTTTAATAAAGTAAACAAATAAATATTAAGCTTCTTTTTTTGTAAATTTTGATACCCTTTAGATCATAATTGCTCATTATTTTATAAATTACGGTTTCATATTTTTAATTTTATAATTTCTGCATGCCATCTTACCAGATTTAAACTAATGATCTATAATCCGGAAAAATCGATAATCCGGAATCGCCGAAGTCCCGACGAGTCCGGATTAAAGACTTTTGACTGTATTATATTTAAAGAAATTAAATAATGAAGAATCTGCATGAATACATGTATGTTTCTCGCACTGTGACAAAAACGACAGTATCAAGAGCCATCAAATTTTGAATAATGTAATGTTCCACCCGAACATGGGCATCTGGACGGCTGAATTTTGAATTTGTTTTAATATATTTCATATTTTGTAAAACTTTAACGAATTTTTGATTAACAAACTCAACGAGTTCAGAGAGAGCTTTGTACAGAAAATAACAGTTTTATCTCCAATGCAGAAATTCTAAAGATATGCTGTTTTCAAATGTATGTGGTTTACGGGCAAAGAACATGATATTCAATAAATATAGGTAACACACAAAATGTTAAAAAAAAGGTTCCTTTTGGGCGTAATATAAAATCTGAGTTCTTCTAGATTTTATTTTACCTCCCCCCTTCATTACACTCAGAAAGTTTTATGCTCCGAATTTTATTAATTACTAAAATAATTATTCCACTTTAATGTTAATAAGTTAATGATGATATAATCAAATAAATGATTGTTTTGTAATGTTATTATAGTTTTGAAAATCACTGCTGAAAATGGTCATTAAATTAAAAAAAAAAAGTTATCAGATCTTGTTTAATTTTACGTTATTTGTACCCAAAATTAAGTTCATAAATTTTGTGCTTAGAGTTTTTACCGTTTTACCAAAGTAAAGATGTTTGTACAAGAATTACGCGTGAAAAAACACACGAAATGCAGTAAAAAGTGCTTTAATGAGATATATTAAATTCCTATTTCAAGAAAACTGTGGTTTTCATAATCTCATCTCTATACAATGTATCACATTTAATAATTAAAAAGTGTTATGTGATACAAACGTTATAGGTTTCAGTGTTAAAGTAAACCAGATCGTCCCTACTCTTTCTTGCCCACATGTCGGTGACGCGTGCCCCGCCCACTGGGTTTGTATATCTCTTATAAGGTCCATGTTTGGTAGTCAAAAGGAAAAACATTGGTTGCGTACGTTAAGATGATAAGGCTTAAATCATTTAGAATTATTTATGGTTATCTGTGGCTTTATTAATTATGGAATCAAAGTTTGCATGATGATGGAAAACATGTTCTCTATTTAGAATTCGTTAATGTCCTATAATTTATGGGGGGAAAAATTAGGATTTACACAAAACAAATATTATTTTAGTAAAACTTTGAAGATGCATGTTAAAGTTGCATTTATTTGACTTAAAATTTATGAAACTTTTTGTACCATTCATCTATAAAATTCTCTGTTTACTCATCAGCAGAATTTGGTGTTTTGGATTTTTGATAAATTGTAAATGTTTTACTTTTTATGTTTGAGTGATTAATTAATTTTGAATTACACCCACATTTACTTTTGAGAAATGTAATAAATTTTTTTATTTGTTATTTTTGAGAAATATTTAATACACATGTCCTTTTTAACAACTAATTAATTTATAATTTTAAAATTTTGCACCTGATTAAATTTTTTTTTGCAAACTTTAAAAAAAAATATTTAATAGAAATGTTGTATAATTTCCATTTAATTATAATCCAGCGTCCAGTGGTTTGTTAGTATTTAAATCAAACGCTATTTGTGTAAGGCATGATATCCAGTCTGGGCTGTTACATCCCCTTTATTCAGGGAACATTGTGTAAATGAAAAAATACGGCAACATTAAATTTGAAAATGAGAATTGATTGAATGATGTAGCACTATAAATGGGTGTGACTGCCTGTTTACATGGATTGAACATGGATATCTTTAAGGATAAAATCAATTAATAAATTATGTTTCTTTTTATAATGGTATATGAGATTAAACTGAAATGTAGCAGTTTGTTGTTAAAAGCAACTATTTCATTATTTCTGAAACTATCTGTCGGAGAAAAATATGCAACTTTGATTGTCATATTGTTAAAAGACATAAAAAATAAACTTAAAAGATTTCAGAAAACAGCAACTGTATTTCAGGGTGTTTTTATTTTCCAAATAATTAGCTGTTTTCTTTTATCTAAGTTTGCCGAAGGGAAAGTGATATTTTTGTCGCTAGAAAAATTAATTTTCATCTCACAGAATCTAATTTGTTAATTAAATCTTTATTTGTGCATGTGAAAGATAAAATATAATACGTAATTATTTTACAATAATCTTCAGTCTTATGCTTCATTATGGGAAAATGTAACACTCAAATTTATTTAGTGATTTCTGCTATATTACAGAAGTCAGGTCTCAGGTCGGAACTACCAGTGTTTGGTGATTTTACCGCTCGGCCGCTGGTGGGCTCATATTACAGTATTACTGAAGTATGAAACACAGGGAAAAGCTATTTTAATGCTTTATTCATTAATGATTGATAAGATATTTGATAATTTGATGATTGATAATTCATAAGATATTTAAACGATGCATTAATCTCTCAGTTTTAATTGTAAAAGAGCAGATGTGAAAATTATATTTTCAAACTTGTAACTTCATGTTAATACAAAAAAAAGTCTGATGTGAACATCATGACTTCTTTGTACGTTCAATTAAATTATGCACATTTTCTTCTGTACTTTGTTTAAACTTATTTCAATTCAAAGTGAGAAACGATCCTCCATTTTTTTAATAAATTGGTGCACACAGACTTAAGTTGTCAGGGTACCAGAAGTTTTCTGATTAGTTGAGACTTAATGCAACACCAAATAAATAATTCAGCATATTATATTTCTGCTTAAGTTTCAGTACTAAAAGTATTAGACTTGGATTAAAGAGAACAGCTAATTATTTGGAAAATAAAAATTTTATGAATAAAAGAGTCATTGATTAACTTTTTCTATGATATCATGCCTACAGTCATCGTTATAGATGCTCAAGTTAAGGTTTTCACCATTAATTTGAAAACTAAAAGAGAGGATTGTTTTTAAGTTAAATAGTGGATTAGTTTTATAAATAATAACAGCAATAAAACTGTAACAAATATAAGGACGATATACATTAAATGCACATGCGTAAAAGTATTATGTGCATGCGTAGAAAGTTTGTAGCTTTGAGGTCTGGATTAAAGACTTTGTACCGTATAAGATTTATCTTAGTACCACAGCAAAATTTGCAGGCTTGTTCTGAAATATGCAGTTTTATGCTCCTCGCAGATGACGTATTTCGACTGCAGAACCCCTAATTTGCATGATGAAGTTTTGCACATGAATTCTTATTTGACAACATACTGAAATTTTATACGGATTGGCTTATTTTTGAACAAGTTATCACTATTTTTGTGATTTTACCTTAATTTTTGGAAACCAGTGTAATTAGATATAAAATGCATTTTTCTAATTTTTATTTAATGGTTATGCAATATGCATAATATTAAGTATTGCTTTCATATCTTTATATACAGAGATTTATATATTTAATGTCATTTTTACAGGTGAAGTTCTAATTTTGTTACATAAACATGGAAGTGTACATGAATGGAGATCATGTTTCACCTGAAACAAAGCTTAACTTAATCAAAAGGAACCTACAGGTGAGTACTAGATAAATAAATTTACTGTACACATGTAGAAGCTGTTGAAATGTTTGTTATTAATTCGTTCAAGAAGGGGTGGAAGCACGAAATTGAAAATTAAGGTCCAGCTTTAAATGTAAATTACAGTTTTTGCCAGATTTTTAGATTTAAACTTAATTTGGTGTCATGTCAATTTTAAAAAAAATCAGCTATTTTACCAAAAATTAGATCTTGGAACAGTAATTAAATCTAATTTATATTCTTAGTCATCTGTTTGATATATGGAAAATGTATTTGAAATGTGAGCAAAAAACAGGTAAAAGCTCAGAATACACTGCATAAACAAAATTGCAAAGGTGGAGCTTAGGACGTCATAAATGGGTGGGACTAAACTTATGATGCCACAATGTATTTTTCAGTTTTATACTACATGTAATCAAGTATTTTCTACTGAAAATAACTATAATCAGTTATTTATTATTGAAAATAAACATTAAATTCTTTATTTTACATTTACATTTCTAACCATTAAACAATGGTTTTACTGAAAATAAGTACAATAAATTATTTAAGTAGAATAATTCAGTTACCATTTATTAAAACAGATGGACATCCTAGACTCACATATTTGAATTTCAGACAGATTCAGTATTTTCAAAGATTTTTAAAGATTTCAAAGACTTTGGCATTAATACAAATAAAAAAAATTAATTTAAATTTACATCATAGAATTCTCTAATTCTACTGTTTTCACAAATGATTTTATTGTTACACCATGTCACAATCCATTATATCCTATTAAGCAGACAGTTTCATTATTTTATAATTGTACAAAATGACTGTATTAATAAAAAATGGAAAATCATTTTTATGGCAAATGAATTTCGTACATAGCTTTAATTTCACTGTTTTTCAGATACCTAAAGGACATTATACTCTCTTTATGCATATAGTTATTCCATACATCAAGTATATAATTTCTGACAATAAAAAAATCGTAAGATACGAAAATAAAAAACTTAAGTTTGGAATAATATGCAATGATTCAAATAGAAAATATAATATCAAGTGCAATTACAATAGCAAATACTATATTTTAAAATAATAATGCAAGAGTTACTTGTCGGATAATTATGTGGTTTTAAGGTCTCTTCAAAGATCTTCAAACTGTTGATATTCATTATAAGTCAAAGATATTATCAACATACCGCATAAACAGCATATAAATTCCTATTCAAAATACAAAAATTATGATTAAAATACAATTTACAATTAATACAATATTACAAATCAAATACACAAAAATGATACAGTAAGTTGTAAGCATAATGTACAATACATTACTTTTGTTTTCCCCATCTGCTTTCACTACCCTTTCCCCTCAAAAAGTACTGACAACTGCACAAACTTGGCATTGTATACCAGCCATGACGATAACTGTCCAAGAACAGTTGAAACTTAAAAATATCCTTCGATGTAATGAAAATAAAAGAGTGTCCTGTCTTCATATTTCCTGTAGCAGTTTGAAAAATAAACAGCATTTAAAAATAGAACAAGTGACCAAGAGAGAACTATCCCACAATTCCACTGATTTGTTAAAAAATAATAATAATAATAAAAAAAAACAAAACCATGTTTTCAGAATAATGACACTGCAATAAAAGTCAGGTTAACAGAATAATATCATTACCCAGCCATGAAATCACCAAATTTGGTGTGCACCTGAACACCGTTACTTTAACCAATAGAAAAAACTACCAGACCCTCTTTCCATACTTCTAAACAACCACTGCCTTCAACAGGATGCAGTTGGTGATATATCCTTTTTCCAAATTTTTGTCAACTTCAGCCACCTTATCCTTACCTCCTGTTTTCTCAGAAGCATTGCAAATGTAATCCAAAATGGTCTCAATGAACTGATGCCAGCCACGCAAAGTATGTGAATTAAACTGCTGTTCCTTTACTATTTTGACATGTTTCTCCAATTTAAAATTTTCTCCAATTTAGAAGCAAAAATAAAAGTCTCCTCTGTAGTCAACTTGTTGAAAGTAAACCAAGATCCAAACCTCAAACTCCATTGACTACCACATTCCCATTTAGAATTTTTCTACAGACCAGCACATCTGAACATCTCATATGAAACATTATTTTTCTTCTTTAGCTTCATTTCAGATTCACTATTTTTCTTTTTTAGTTTCATTTCAGATTCACACTTCTCACATCTTAAGCCCAATTATTAAAATAAATAATTAAATCTATCTACTTGTAAAAATCATTCATAAGTGCACCCACTGATAACAGGAGAAGCATACCTATCTCTAGAAAACCAAGATTTAATGTCATCCAAAATATGAGGTATCTCTCAACAACATCCTTCACTGACATACTAGCCATAGTAAAAAGGCAATAAATAAACAATCAAAATTTTGAAAATACACCCGAGAGATGCAGCTGAATAAAATAAAAATAAATAAATAAATAAAAAAAACCTCTCAGATACAGAAATGCCTGAACTGATTAAATGGGTTGCCATATGAAAGAAAATCTTGTCAAAATCATGTGGATAGCGTGTGAAATAAAATATCGCCAGATTTGGCAGCTGGTGTATCTGGCACATTTGTACCCAGTTTCATAAATTAAAAGGAAATATACAAGTCCTTTTCTTTTCGTTCTCCTTCTACTCACTGCATGAACTAATGACATTGCAGTGTGTAGAATTATTTGAAAAAGTTTTTTTTTTTTTTATATATATATATATATATATATATATATATATATATAAGCACTGCACTAAGAAACTTTGTGGAAGTTTGAAAGTGAGAAATTGCAAAGGAAGCTAAATAAAGCCTAATTTTAAGAGCATTGATTATGGTGATACAATAGCCTTATAAAGAGTATCCCATTGTTAAGTTATGATTTGTAAGACAATGTCTGATCTATTTCTGCTTAAAATATTTCTGTGTTCATTTTATGTTTAGCTAAATGTAATATATGTATCTGAAAAATTTGTTTTGGAATTGTTGTAGCAGAAATATAAATTAAATCCATACTTCGTATTGATATGTTATAGGAAGTATTAGGAGAAGATAAAATGGTAGAAATCTTAAAGGAAAGGGATTTAAAAATTTATTGGGGAACAGCTACTACTGGAAAGCCTCATGTGGCCTACTTTGTTCCTATGTCAAAAATTGCTGATTTCTTGAAAGCAGGTTGTGAGGTATGTAATAATATATTTTTCAATGATATTTTACTCATTTATGAACTCATGAACTTTTATATGTTATTTCATTATTATTATTATTATTTTAAATGTCTTGTATCAATGTCTGCATCACAAGTGGTATGTGCTTTTCAAGAGACTAAATTTAATTAAGTTCTTTTTATGAAAAAATTTCAATGTTTATACATTATCCTGTCTGCTGTGAAAGCTTGCCAAAATTGCACCAGTTGTTCCTATGGAATTTCGAAAGAACCAATGCCTCTTTATTTAGTGAACTAACAGACATGACTGTTTATTTACTTGTATCATTGCCAGATGCAAATTACATATTCAGTGCATAAAAACCTATATAAATATTACGTCAGCTACTGGATTTACCGGCAAAGCAATTCATTAAAATCTGCACCAGTTACTCCTGCAACAAAAAAATTCATGATAGCATTCAAACTAACAACAAGGTAGTCATCCTTCAATTTTACAGGAAGCTGTATTTAAAATGTTATGGGTTCAGACTTATCAAAGATGATTTTACCAATCTTTTACTGTTTTGTCCACAATATCCAGCTGTTATTTTCCCCATTCAATGGCTATTACTTGACCAGATGTAATGAACTGTACTACACTCACCAGTATGATTCTATAGCCTTCGAACCACGTTCCTGTTCGAAAGGCTATTATGTTGTCGCTAATTTTCATGTTATATCTTCATTACACGTAAAGTGCCATATTGTGTTCATTAATACACACCTTTTTTCGTGGTAGGATTTCATAACTTTGAAAATAATCCACCACTTGCTGTTCTATAGAAACAGGTCCCAATTTTTTCCCCTCAAAATGCAAGTAAAATTAATGCAATGACTGTTAATTTTTATTATTGTTCATAAAAACAAAAGGTGGGTAACCAAGAATCAATCACTTTTCCATCATACAGAAGTACAGATATTCTGAGTGTGTTATCCCGTCATGCTTATTCATATTTGGCACTAAATCGTGCTGCTTGATAACAGTTTCACAGTCAATGGGATAATAACTAAGTACACAAATGTCTTTTTTAATGCTATTTTCTTTTAGTGCTATTACAATCCATAAAAATAAAACAGTGTTTATAAAATTACCCATTTTTATTATAACTTATTTTGAATATTAAAATAAGATTTTATAAATAAAAATTATTCAAAATTCTATGCATTTAAAATTTTTTTAACCCTAAAATTTTTTATTTATCATGATTTAGTATTTCTTAAATTGTCACTGATTTTTCTGTGTGTGACTTACTGACCAATATTTTTTAAACAAATCATGTTTTTATAATAGAATAAACGAGCTTAAATTTAGTCATAATTCAGGTGCCTCCCACTGTGTGAATTTAATAAGTGCTATTATAAAGGACCTGAACTATATTAACTTTTCTGTTAACAAAGGAGATTCAAAGAGAATTTAGTACTGTTCTGTTATTAGGGGACTGGATTCAGAAATGTATGTATGTACATACATGCATACAAGCACACACACATACATACATATGTACATGCATACATACATACATATCTGAATCAGTTCTGATAATAGTAAAGTACCGAGGATTGTCAGTTTTGCAGAAAAAGCTGAAACACGAAAGTATGGTTCAATGTTTGCTTTATGCAGTGATTATAGAAAACATGATTAATTTTGATGCAGCATGCAGGTTTAAGCAGTTTTTGCAACATGCTTTGATTGCCTACAGTGAGCTATACAGCAGGGGGACAAAGTCTTTCTAGCTGAGCTTAGTATCTTATTTTCAAGATTTTCACATCAGCCTGAAAATAAATAATTATCATTTTTTTGCCCTTGATCCAGGTAAGCATAAAAATTTTAGATACAGTAATTTGATGGATAGAAATGTTGATAAGGTAATAAATTATCTTCCTCACTGTTTTTGTGCTGTGTAGGCTTTGTTTCTTGCACTGTCAAGTTTCAGGTATTTCAGTGTGCCATCATCATTGCCACCACGTTTGTGGTTTTTAGTCGGTCCTCTTGCTCTCTTTTTAAATTTTGGCAGCTGAAATTACACTGTATGCATGTTACTTTTATTTATATGGTTTGTGTTTTTGTAACATCATTATTTGTTTATCTTGAGTTTTAAGATACATTTGAAGTTTTTTCCTTGGAAGATCTATGAATGTCTAAAGCCTTTTTTTCTTATAAATAAATGATAATTTCTTTACTTTTGTTATTTTGGCTTATAAAAAATTTCACAGGAACACTGTTTTGTAAAATGATGGAAATTTGTATTTTTAATTTCAGTTGCTATGTACCAATTTAAATTATGTTTTGTCAGGGAAGTAAATGTGTAGAGCCAATTATGGTCAGATTTTTTCAATTTGTAAAATATAATTTTCACTTTGCTGATGAGCAGCAAATTAAATTGTGGTAATTGTAGTATTTAAGGACTCTGATTTTGATTTTTAGGTCACAATCTTGTTTGCAGACCTTCATGCTTATTTAGATAACATGAAAGCTCCTTGGGAACTTTTGGAGCTACGTGAAAAGTATTACGAAGCAGTCATTAAAGCTATGCTGGAATCAATTGGTGTGCCTCTCAATAAACTGAAATTTGTTAAAGGATCTGATTACCAGCTGAGCAAGTAAGTAAAATGCATTTCTCTTGTTTGACATCATTTTGCTAAAATTACATTATTTAAATTAAATATTGGAGCATGTTTTCAGAAATATTATGTGCACTGAATTGAATTTCTGTGTCTGGTTATCTGCATGTTGTTTTTAAATAAAACACTGTCTCTTATATAATATAAAATTCATTAATATTATCTTATTTTGTAGCACTGGTGTTGGAGAAATCTTTTTCAAATCTCTGTTATTATTATTATGGTGCTAGCAGTCTCAAGAAACTTTTCTGTTTGAAACCATTTTAGGAATTTCTCTTCATAATATAGCATTTATTTGCTGTGTATCTAATGAGAAATATGTTAACATAAACAAAAAGCTGTAGTAAACTCTCTATTTAAAAAAAAAATATTTTTTTCAAAGACATTTAAATACAATATTTTAAACTATATATATTTTTTGAAAAATTTTAAAAGTAGCAACAACAGTTTTCTAGAGCTTATATATTTTTTCACATGATAGCCATTGTTGCTACATACACAAATATTGAAGGATATAGCGCTGACAAACAAAACTATGTAATTCATTAACTTAAACTATTTTTTAAAACATCTTCAATATTAAAAGAAGTATAACTCTTTTATTATTTTATATCAATAAAAATGTTTACAAAATATCGTGTTTGAAATATTTTTTTAAACATTCTTTAAATTTGCTTGAATTTTTCACTTATTATAACTTAAATAAGAAAACTGCTAAAGTCTTTTAACATATGCTTGTATGTACTCAAACTAATGCTTGTTTCAGGGAATATACTTTAGATGTGTACAGACTAGCTTCCCTTGTAACTGAACATGATGCAAAGAAAGCTGGTGCTGAAGTTGTGAAGCAAGTAGAACATCCATTCCTTAGTAGTCTCATGTACCCAGGACTTCAAGTAATTTAAATTTGTAAATGTGCATGAAATTTTATATTTGCAACTACGCAATGAATATTCATTATTAAAACTTTATTTAAGTGTATGTAACTTACTGGGCTAGATTTTATGAATTTTACAATTGGCAATGTTTTCAGTGTGTTTTATTGCACGCTTTCCAGATGCTGAACATCCATGTCTCCTAGGACCATTTATGAAGTTCGCCCCATATGGTTTATTACTTAGTCTTAATACTTTGCTTTTCATTTTAATAGATTCTAGAACAAAGCGATGCTTTCTAAATTGTTAAAGAAAATAAATGAGTTAAATTATTTATAAATTAAGGCATAAAATAAAATGAGATCTCATCAACAAATATGAGAAACTGTGTCACTCAGAATGTCAGTAAAAGATGACTGTATGATTTTCATTGCAAAATAAAATTGTGTTAGAATTTATTTATTATGCAAGAGTATTAACACATAATTATGCAAATATGAGTATAACATTTATTATGCAAGAGTATTAACACATAATTATGCAAATATGAGTATAACATTTATTATGCAACCATAAGTATTAGCAACTTGAAAAACTATTCTGCCCTATAAATAAAATTTGAATTCCTCCCTGAAAATATTTTAAATTTCACACTGCTGCTAATTCAGTAAAGTTTCTGTGCATTCTTCTTGAGTTGCTTAAGTAAAAGATGTACAGTGAAACTTTAGTTCATGAACTTAATTTGTTCCTGAAGGTAGTTCATCATCTAAAGTATTTGTAAACTGAAACAGTTATCCTCAGAGTAATTAATGTGAAATGAATTAATCCATTTTTGTACCCTGAAAGATTTCTTCTAAAAGAGTACTTTGTATGTAGGTTCTTGATGCAATACCAATGATTAAATCTAACTAACACCTACACAATATTTAACACAATAGTAAACTAAAAAAAGGAAAACTTTAACTAACTTTTAACTATTTCTATGAAAAGGAAAGTTGGCAGTGCTATTAGAAAACTGAAAAAGTCAAAATTGTTTGAAAGGGAAATCCTATTCCTTTAAAATATCAGGTAATTGCTAGCTTTCTCTTCCCCTCTTTTCTTTTCTCTTTCTTTTTACACCACTTTGGTGTACTTGAGAATCACTAAGCTTTTGATCCATTAAAAATTTATCTTCTCTGATTTGACTCTGTTTTAAAATGCTCTGAAAGCAAGGCATGGCCTTGTTATTGCAAATATTTATGCTATGGCTTATTGCTACTTATAACAACTTTATCATGGTGACAATGTTCTTTGAACCTTACCCCATTTTGCACATATTTACATATTTAGTGAATCAAATAACTAGGAACACCTTCCCTTCTGTCATTTTCTGAAGTCATTTCTTCCATTGCATTAACTGCAGTTTGGAATATCATCTGTTACCACCTTACTTGTTTGTATCTTGAAACATCATTTATTGTCCAAGACATTTTTTGTTTGGAAAATATGTTGGTAAACCAAGGTTCCACTGAAATTGAACTGTGCAGTGTAAATGGCAGAATTTAACCTATCAGCTATTGATTAATGAACAAAGCTGCTTAAAAGCAATAGATGCAGTTTTTTTTTTACTTTTTAATCTGATAGATATAAATAACAAATTCATTTAATTCATAATATATTGTTGCGTGCGTACGGGTTCGTTACGAAATGAATGCACAAGTCCGATGAAAAATGAAGAAAAATTTATTATTATCACAACAAAAATGCTTAAATTTTCTCAAATTATCATGCAGTATTACAATATCTTACAGTAGTTATCTTTTAACTACTCAAATGTCCAATAGAACGTAATTCAAAACAGCTAAAGAACGCTAATTCGCGAATTCACTACAATCCACAAGAGCAGTTTTCTAAACAACAACAAACTAAGCAACTACTACAAACTGCAATGTTTTCCTCCTTTTATAAGATTTTAAAACCACGTGCTAGAATTTTCCAGTACTTTCTCAAAATCAAAAAGAGATATTTATTTATTTAATGCACGCGCTCTTGTATTTTCAATTTTCCGGCTTAGCTTTCTTTTAATATTCGTCACGCGCTGCACTGCGCGAGAAATAAAACCATTTAATTTATAATTGAACTAACATTAGCTTTTTAAATACCAAATTCGTAACACTGCCCCCTTCCCAAGGACTGCACGTCCCGGGCAGTACAATCCCTGGACAGGAAGCTAAACTTACAACTGTGGCATAAATGCATTAATAAGCATTACATTACAATAATAAACAACATGAACAATAAATGCAATAAATAAAACAAATCAAATACTAAATGCAAATCAAATACTAAATATAAATCAAATACTAAATATAAATCAAATCAAATACACATTTAAAAACAAAATGGACCATGGTCTTATACTATTTACAATTATTTACATTATGTACTATGGCCATAGTAATGAGCTAACCTGTCGTAATGAACGACCTTAGGTTTAGAGTTCGAAGACTTACGAATCCGAACCACGACGTCATTCAGCCTGTTTAGGACTGTGTACGGGCCATCCCAAGTTGACTGTAATTTCGGACAAAGTCCTTTCCATCGAGTCGGATTCCACAACCACACCTTGTCTCCTTCGTGGAATTGATGTTCAGTAGCTCTTGTGTCGTATCGGGTCTTCATCTTCTCCATCACCAAGTTAACTCACTCTCGTGCAAAGTTGCGCATCACTTCAAAACGGGCCTGGAAATCTTGAATATATTCCTCAGACGAAGAAGGAGCATCCGGAGGGTGGCCAAACAGTAGATCACAAGGCAGAGCTAGATCACGACCGAAGAGCATCTGTGATGGAGAATAGCCGGTAGTCTCATGGACAGCACTGCGGTAAGCCAGTAAAAAGAGTGGTAATTTCTTGTCCCAGTCCTGTTGGTTTCTGGAAACCACTAATGAGAGGTTATTAAGGATGGTTCGATTGAACCTCTCTACCATGCCGTCCGACTGGGGATGCAATGGCGTCGTTTGAGTTTTGTCAATGCCGAGTAGTTTGCATAGTTCTTTGATTACTGCCGAGGCAAAATTCCTTCCCTGATCGGAATATAACTGAAGAGGCACTCCGAACTTGGAAATCCAGTGCTGTATCATTACCTCAGCTACTGTGACAGCCTCTTGATCAGGAACAGGGTACACTTCAGGCCACTTGGTGAAGTAATCAATAACAACGAGTATGTATTTGTTGCCATCAGCAGTTCGTGGCAGAGGTCCCAAGATGTCAAAGGCGATACATTCAAACAGCGCACCTACGTTGTAACGTTGCAGCTTGCCTCAGCTGCATTTCCTCGGTCCTTTCTGACCTGCACAGGCATCGCAGGATCGGCACCACTTTTGCACGTCATCCTTTGCATTATTCCAGTAAAAGCGCTCACGAACTCTCTGTAAGGTCTTCATTATTCCAAAGTGACTTCTCGTAGGGCTGTTATGTAGTTCTTTAAGGACATCAGGAATGCGGGATCTTGGAAGTATCAGCTGCCATCGGAACGTCTTCCCATCATCCGCTTCGAATTTCCGGTATAAGACGCCGTTTCGAATGTGAAGTGAATCCCAGAGTGCCCAATACTGTTTGGTTGTAGGACTACAGATAGAAATGTCCTGCCAGGTAGGTTTTCTGGTTGATGACTCCATTGAATCAATTATGGGTTTAATGTCGCGGTCTTCCAGCTGGTCTTTTCCTGACTTCATTATCACTCCACGGTTCTCGATCAGCCGATGTTGATGTTGTAATTTGTCTTGCGACCTGGAGTCAGCAGCTCGTATTTCGCTTCCACCCTGGAACAATATCGGCAGCTTTCTTGGCAAGGTCTTCTAGACAGGGCGTCGGCGTTTCTGTGTGATGATTCCTTACGATGACGGATAGTGATGTCATATTCTTGGAGTCTCTGTATCCACCTGGCTATTTGACCCTCAGGATTCTTGAAATTTAAAAGCCAGGTCAATGATGCATGATCAGTGCGGAGCAGGAATTTTCTGCCGTATAGATAGTGATAAAACTGTTCTACGGTTTTAACTATGGCGAGCAACTCTTTCCTCGTGACACAATAATTCCTCTCTGGTTTAGACAGGCACTTGCTCCAGTACGCCACTACACATTCTTGGCCGTCTATTTCTTGGGACAAAACAGCACCGACACTTTAATTGCTCGCGTTGGTGTCGAGAATAAATGGTCAGTCGAGCTGAGGATACGTCAGGATTGGAACAGATGTTAAAGCCTCCTTTAAGTTGTTAAATGCATCCTCGCACTCTTTTGTCCACAAGAACTTCTGCTTGCTCTCTGTCAGCTTGTGAAGGGGTCTTGCGATGGAAGAAAAGTCCTTCACGAATCTCCTATAATAGGTGCAAAGCCCTAGGAAGCTTCTCAGCTGATGGACATTTTCGGGATGTTTCCAGGATTTAACCGCTGATACCTTTTCAGGATCCATGCGCACATCTTCTGCAGAGATGACATGTCCCAGGTAAGTCACTTCCTTTCGGAACAATTTGCATTTAGTGGGACTCAGCTTCAGATTGGCTTCTCTCAGTTTCTGAAGCACCTTCCTAAGATTTTCTAAATGTTCTTCAAAACTCTTTCCGACAATGATGATGTCGTCCAGGTATATCAGGCAGGCTTCGTAGGAAAGGCCTTTCTAAACAGTCTCCATAAGACGTTCGAATGTTGCTGGCGCATTACACAGTCCAAACGGCATCACCTTGAATTGCCAAAGCCCTTGTCCCGTAGTAAATGCCGTCGCCAATACCCACTCTTTAAATCAAGTGTTGAGAACCACTTGCTTCCAGAAAGAGTGTCTAGAATGTCGTCAATTCTAGGAAGAGGGTAACTGTCTTTCTTTGTAACCTCATTCAACCGGCGATAGTCGACGCAAAATCTTGTTGAGCCGTCTTTCTTTCTGACTAGGACGATGGGAGATGCCCATGGACTTACTGAAGGCTCGATGACATCGCCTTCTTCCATAACAACAGTGTTCGCACCTCTTCCTGTTTAGCAAATGGTAGACGTCTTGGATGTTGCTTGATCGGGGGATTATCGCCGGTATCTATTCTATGTTGTGTCAAACTAGTTCGACCAACGTCAGAAGACGAGTGGGAGAAAACAACATGAAGATCTTTAATGACGCGATCGGCAGCATTCCTCTCTTTATCGTTTAATTGCGCATTCTGCAATAACTCCGATGTAATGCTCTCTGAGGACAGGGATTCTTGGATGTTATTCTTTCTTTCAACCCTGGTTACTGGAGTACATGCTGCAACCACTTCACCTTTCTTAATAATTCTCCCCTTCTCAGTTACATTGGCGACTCTCACCGGGATAACCGTTCTGGATAGGTCGACGAGTGTTGAGGCTACTAATACTCCTTTTGGGCTATTTACAGTTATTGGGATATTCTATGCTTCTGTAGCGGAAATTTCTGTTTTTGGCTATGGATCCAGGAAGTAAAATTTCTGTTCTTGCCGGTATTGTGATATTGTCTTGTGCTATGATTTTATGAACAGATTTAACTTCTTCATCATTAACTCCAAATAACGTTATATCCTCAAATGTAGAATGCAATTCGTTATTTTTAAAGTCCAAGGAAAAATTGTATTTCCTTAAAAGTCTAATCCGAGTATGCAAGAATCAGTGATCTCTGCTACATATGCCGCGTGATGGTAAGCGGCACTTCCAAACGTGATGTTAACATTTACTTTTCCATCGATGTCGATCTTCTCACCGGACACAGTCTGTAGGGTAATGCAGGGCGCCGTCCAGATAAGTTTGCTTCCTAGTTGTTCAGCCAAATCTTTTCGGACGATGGTAATGTTGGCTCCTGTATCTATCATCATATTGCAGGGAACTCTGTTAATATGTCCTATTATGAAAAGTCCATTACTGCTGCCTCTCACTGCAGAAATCTGAAGCGCTGTAAACTGGGGCTTTTCATTATCTGGCAACCTCTGCCCCGCGAGATGGCCACTAATTAGTTTCCCTGCTGTTTGTTAGGAGCGGTTTTAACATCTGTACCCTGGGGTGTTCTGCAGTTTTGTCGTATGTGTCCTTCAGCACCGCAGTTCCAGTACTTTAGGGTCGGTTTCTTTTCACCACTATTCCGTCTTAAAGCATTCACTGGTCTTGTCAACTCATCCGTTTTATTATCCGTGCCCTGGGGTGTTCTGCAATGCTGTCGTAGGTGACCTTCAGAACGACATCTCCAGCACCTTACAGCCACTTTGTTCTCACTGCTACTCCATATCAAAGCATCGACTTGTCTGGATAAATCATCTAAACGAGCCATCAATTGATCCCCTGGCTCGTGCACTTGCACAGCTCTGACTGAGTAGTGATCTCTATGAGTTGCTTGCTGGGCTGCCTCCAATTTCACGGCGTAACAGAGCGCGTTTTACATCTTTAACATCCACCATTCGCAGTGCTTTCAGTATTTCAGGGTCCCGGATGCCATCGATGAAATATTGCAGGGACAGGATTTCTCTTGTTTCGGTCGGGCACTCCGAAAAGGCGCGATGTGATAGCCTTTCAACATCCATGGCGAGCTCCTGAAGTGTTTCGGTAAGCTTCTGTTGACTGGATTTTAATTGGCGCCTACTGTAGTCTTTTAAACATTTCTCGCCGAAGCGCAGCTCCAAAGCGCCGGATAGAGCTTCGAAATCTAGCCTTTGATTTTCGGGAAGCATCTGCAGGATATCCGCTGCGTCTGCTCTCAGAGAAGCGGCAAAATGACAGGCCTTAGCTTGGGAATCCCATCCATTCGCATCCGCAACAATAGAAAATTGTGTTTTATACACCTGCCAGGAGGTCTTCCCATCATATGTAGATAACTTCAGAGAGGGACTAGCAGGCATGGGTAGAAATTTAAAGCCATCACTATTGTTCCCTGCCATCGTTACGAATTTCTTTAAAATATCCACTTCTTTGGCTACTGCAGAAATCCTATCATTAATTTGTTGTTCGATTTGGTGTTGGACGGCACAAGCTCTTCCTTCAATTCGTTCCTCCACAGCAGAAACTCTCCCGTCTATTTGTTCTTTAAGGGAGGAGACTCTTTCTTCAATTTCTCCAACCTTACTTTCGACTATCTATTCTATTCTACCTATTAGTACCTAGAGTCTATTCTACCTTCTACCTTCTATAGCCTCGAATTTGTTTTCTATTACGCAGGTAATTTCTCTTTTCATTTCCTCTTGACCTGCTTTCATCTCGTCTTTAATAGATTTCATCTCGTCTTTAACGGATTCCTGTCTTGCTTCAATCTTTTCCTGATTAGATTTCATCTCCTGTTTCATTTCTTCTTGACCTGTTTTCATTTCCTCTTTAAATGCAGCAAAGGCTGATATCAGCTGTCTTAACTGCTCTTCCATCGCTCTTGTGATTGGCATTCAAACCCCACTCCTGACACCAAAAATTGTTGCGTGCGTACGGGTTCGTTATGAAATGAATGCACAAGTCCGATGAAAAATGAACAAAAATTTATTATTATCACAACAAAAATGCTTAAATTTTCTCAAATTATCATGCAGTATTACAATATCTCACAGTAGTTATCTTTTAACTACTCAAATATCCAATAGAACGTAATTCAAAACAGCTAAAGAACGCTATCCGCGAATTCGCTACAATCAACAACAGTAGTTTTCTAAACAACAACAAACTAAGCAACTACTACAAACTGAGATGTTTTCCTCCTTTTATAAGATTTTAAAATCACGCGCTAGAATTTTCCAGTACTTTCTCGAAATCAAAAAGAGATACAGTTAAAAGTTGTTAATCCGGACTCCTCGGGACTTCGGCGATTCCGGATTATCGCTTTTTACGGATTATAGATCATCAGTTTAAATCTGGTAAGATGGCATGCAGAAATTACAAAATTAAAAATATGAAACCGTAATTTATGAAAAAGAACAATTATGATCTAAAGGGTATCAAAATTTACAAAAAGAGAAAGCTTAATATTTTATTTGTTTACTTTATTAAACATTTCCTTCAATGTAAGTTGCTTCGTTTCATGTGATAATACTTTCTCTTTAATTCTATTAAACAGACATAATTTCTTGTTTAGTTACAAAGTTCCGCTGTTTAAGTCCTATAATTGCTGTGTTGAGAATACCGACTAATTTGTCAATCGAAATGTTTTCGTTTTCAATAACCTCTGGGTCACTTTCTTCACTATGGGAAGCGAATTATAATGACCAGGAACTTGATTTAAATCATATCAAAGAGATGAAATACTACACTTAGTACGGAATTATAAACCAAATAAAATAAAAACATCTGCCCTGAAGATAAGAATAGTGCTGACAGATTAACTTCCAATCCCCCGCCTGAAATTGATAAACAGATTTCGGATTTCAAAACATACTTTTGCTTTGTAGATACAAATTACATATTAGTAAATATATATTGGAAATTCTATTTGACATAATCTTTCTAATCTATCATAATCTAATAATGACGTTTCTTTTCGCCCCCCCCCCCCTCTGCCGCAGAGCAGCGTGAAATTGATAAACAGATTTCGGATTTCAAAACATACTTTCGCTTTGTAGTAAATATATATCGGAAATTCTATTTGACATAATCGAAAGTTTAAGCTTACTTTTATAAAATTGCTCTAAACAGTCTGCAAAAAATAATAAGCCGGATCCAATTTCGAAGATTGATTAAGGAACAACGCAATCTGCAACATTAACTGAATTAGATAACTTTAGCTTAGCCTATAACTCCGTTACACATTAAACGCGCATGCGCACAAACATATCCGCAGCCGTAAGGGTCTTACGCGCTCTCGTAAACGCCTGTGCGCATGCGTGAACGCGACGCATGCGCAGAAAGTTTGTAGCTTTGAGGTCCGGATTATAGATCATTCCGGATTATGGGTGTCCGAATTAACGACTTTTGACTGTATTTATTTATTTAATGCACGCGCTCTTGTATTTTCAATTTTCCGGCTTAGCTTTCTTTTAATATTCGTCACGCGCTGCACTGCGCGAGAAATAAAACCATTTAATTTATAATTGAACTAACATTAGCTTTTTAAATACCAAATTCGTATGTAATAAAAAATGTTACCTATTTATATAAAATTATATTATACATTTTCTGCTTTTCTAATATACAGAACATAGTACATAATGTTCCCATATTGGTGTAAATGTATACTCATCTAATATTGTATAAAATGTTTCACTATTCCATTAGGCCATTTGTATTGATAATCTCTACTGATAAACCATATGAAAAGTCTTTCGAGCAACCGTTAAAATTTGAGCCCTTTAAGATTTTCTCTCTCTCTCTCTTTGTTTTTTTTTTTTTTTCTTCTACTTTGTTCTTTAAAAAATTTTGTATTCTTATTTTCTGTAATGATCTTGAAATAATTTTCATTATTTTTTAGCTATGATAATAAACACTTAGGTTTGTTATATTACAAATTAAAGTATGAATATGTCACACTTCATACATGGTTTGAAAATATAGAACCACTCTGAGGTTCGGTTAAATTGTAAACCAACTGATATCTTATTCTGTGCATTTATTTCCACCCTTTCTTAATCTATCAACCAAATTATAATTGAGCAGATCTTGCTGAGTTAAATAAATAAATATGTATTTAATTGTATTTTATTTCTGCAATTTTGTGTCTAAAGAATTATATTTAGTGTTTGGGATATCTTTTACTGTAATGTTAGTAATGTATTTCTAAATTTTTTTAGGCTTTAGATGAAGAATATTTAAAAGTAGATGCTCAGTTTGGAGGAGTGGATCAAAGGAAAATATTTACATTTTCTGAAAAGGTGAAATTTTCTGTACTTTTATGTTGACTAAAAATCTTTAGTTTGCATTGTAAATCTCATGTATAAAATATGTAATCTTTATGCGTTTGTATATGAAAACAGATAATACAGTTTTTGATTCTTTGAAAGACATGAAATTTTTTTTAACATTATTTATGTCAAGATGTATTAATCATTTGTATATAATTCTAAAAGATATTGATAACAAATTATTTATTTTTCTTTTCTCCTCTTTTTTTTTTTTTTCTTTTTTTGTGTGTGTGTGTGTGTGTGTTTGTGTTTGTGTACTTGTTTGATATTCTCTCAGGCTTTCTTTTTCTGTAGCAGCTTTCAAACTCCTGTAACTTATAAATTAAAGGGTGAAAGAAATAACAGTCTAAATTGTTTTAAATTTTTTTTGGGGGGGGAATAAATGTATTTATTTACAGTCTAAATGGTTGTAAATTTTTTGAAATAACAATCTAATATAATAACAGATTTAGTAATCTAATGGTTGCAATTTATTTTGAAAAAATATATTTAATAGCTGTATAATAATAGAAGTAGTAATAAACAAATTACTAGATAAATTAGTGTAAAGATAAAAAAATGGCATAGAGATAAAGTTAAAAAAATTATTGTAATATGTAGAATTAATCGATTTTTAGAATTCTGATTTCTATCCCAGTTTGTGAAATTGTCAGATGATACCTAATGCTTGAGTTTTCAATATAATGAATTGAAATATAAAATTTGTCCAGTAATGCTGATTTATTTATTGATTCCCATTCTCATACTATTGTGTATTAAGTAATTTGTATTTATGTGAAGGTAGAGGGAAAATTGTAGCAATATTTTTTGTGTCTGATCACTAAGTATTTCTAATATAACTTTTTTTATTTTAGTATCTTCCCCAATTGGGTTATTCTAAGAGAATCCATTTAATGAATCCCATGGGTAAGTAATATTAACATAATTATTTTTTATATGTTTAAGAGATATAAAAGTGTTCTGAGCTATTTATTTTAGTATTAAATACCTTAAAAAAATGTATAAAGAATTATTTTTTTCCCCCTTGGAATGAGTTGATTATTATTTACTTTAGTAATTTTTTTCCAGTCCCCGGTCTTACTGGCGGCAAAATGAGCTCTTCATTAGAAGATTCAAAGATTGATCTCTTAGACAGTCCTGCAACAGTTAAGAAAAAACTTAAAAAAGCCTTTTGTGAACCAGGGAATTTGGAAGAAAATGGAGTTCTAGCTTTTGTTAAATATGTTCTTCTACCATTGTTTAAAAACGAAGGTTTGTAATACATATACATTTAGGTTAATTGTGAAATGTAAATATTATTTGTAATTAAACAGGCGTGTAACTTTAATCCTAGACATTATGACATTGACCCAGTTATTATTTGTAACAAAGGCCAAAGTTAGAGTCTTTATTATAAGTAAAATCAATTTATGCATGTATTTTACAGGAATAAATCATGTTCTATGCAGTTTCTTAATTAATAGTATGTATTGATGCTCCAGTTATTCATGAAAGCTGAGTATTATGTTCATTGCATTAATATATAAATAAATCTATGCCTCAGTAAATGTTGCAGATGAAGGAAATACTTTCATGTAGATATTTTAGGAATTTAAATATGAATATTTCTCATAAACTAACTGATGGTTAAGACACAATAACACGCCGAATAAATACTAATTCAGAAGTCAAACAACAAAAATCAGCGTTATACCTACAAAATTTTCACAGGACTAGTTTCGATGGTTTTACCGAACCATCATCTTCAGCTGCAAAAACGCAAATGAACAAGATAGGAAATAATGATTAGATAAGATAAGAAAGCCTGGACAAGAATAAGCAAGTGGCGCCATCTGTTGGCGAAACCAGAACTAAAACATAATTTCTCTAAAGCCGAAGGCAAATTTGGATTGGAAATTAGGATCGTTAACTAGAACAGAAAGATTTTTTATGAATGTGAAATGCCTCTAGAAAATCCAGTTCTCCAATGGAAGATGTTTTTTTGAATAATTTTGGCAGCAGAAAAATTGAAAGTGGGATTTTCGGACCAACAATGTTGAGCAACAGAAGACTTCTGTGTTTCCTTTTTTCTAACATATGCCTCATGTTCTTTGACGCGAAATTTTTTAAGGCTCTCTTAGTTTTGGCCAATGTAAATTAAAACCACACACTGGCAAGGAATCCTATAAATACCCCAGGAATTCATATCCGGAATGGGGTCCTTGAGTATAGAAGTTGGAATTTTATTGATGGGAGAATAAACAACCCGAAAGTTAAATTTCTGCAAAATATGTGCAACTTTATAGCTAATTGATGGAAAGAAGGGAATGACAACAGAATTTTTATAATCTCCTAAAATAAGAGTGTGGCTTTTAGTGTGTTCAGAAATGAGAATTTTTTAAACTGCTTGATTAATAATGTTGGGTGAAAAGCCCCTGTCAATAGCTATTGCTTTTAAATAATTTAGTTCTTCATCAAGGGCTAGTTTGGAGGAGCAAACTTGAAGAGCACGGAAAACATAGGAATAAAATGAAGCTAACTTTGTTTAGTCGGATGACATGATTTAAAGTGTGGTGGAAGGCAAAACCGATGAAGGTTTTACGGTAAACCTGTAGTACTGAAGTTGGATGTGTTACGTGTGACCAGAATGTCGAGAAACGGAAGAGAATTGCAAGTCTCAAGTTCAAAAGTGAACTGAATAGCAGGATCAATAGAATTCATTGTTGAAAGAACTTTATTTAAATCATCTTTATTACCTTCAAACAGGGTAAAAGTATCGTCTACGTAGCGGAACCATGCCGGGAAGTTTAAAGTTTCAAACAATTTTGATTCACGATAATGCATGTAGATATCAGCCAGGATGGGACTGAGGGGGCTTCCCATGGCTAATCCCTCAGTTTGTTTGTAATATTTATTTTGGAAAACAAAATGTGTTTGTTTCAAACAGAGTTGTGTGAGAGAAATGAGCTCCTCAATTTCGATGCAAGAGAAATGAAATTCGCGAAGTCTGGTTTCTAGACATCTTAATGCACCCTCCACTGGGACATTGGTGAATAATGATTTTACATCAAAAGAAACCATGAGTAAATTACTAGGAGAAATGTTTTTTAACCTTTTTTACAAACTCTATATTGAATTTTTTATGGTGTAAATGTTATTGTCTAATAGAGTGGAAAATCTAGAAACCAAATATTTAGCTAAAGGATACAAGGCAGTACCTAAATTTGATACAATAGGGCGGAAAGGAATACCACTTTTATGAATTTTGGGAAGAGCATATAATCTGGCACAATTCGCAACAGATGGGATAAGCAAATGTTTTAAGTTGCTTGAAATGATTTGCGAAGATTTGATCGCAGTTTTTATTTTGGATAAGTCCGAAGGTGAAGGATCTTTAGGGATCGGATTATATGGTCCTTCGTTTAAGAGTTTAGTGACACCATCGATGTAAGTTTTCTTATCCATGACGACTATCTGGCCGCCTTTGTCGGCCTTTGAAAGCTAGGTCGGTTTTAGTTCTGGTTTCGCCAACAGATGGCGCCACTTGCTTATTCTTGTCCAGGCTTTCTTATCTTATCTAATCATTATTTCCTATCTTGTTCATTTGCGGTTTTGCAGCTGAAGATGATGGTTCGGTAAAACCATCGAAACTAGTCCTGTGAAAATTTTGTAGGTATAACGCTGATTTTTGTTGTTTGACTTCTGAATTAGTAACTGATGGTTGTTTGTGGCAACATCTACAAGATAATGTTAATATATGAAAATAGTATCTGCAAATAAAGTTTTCTCTCTCCCTTTTTTCTTTAAAAATTGTTTTTTCCACTTAAGCATATTCCAGAAGATTTAAGCTCATAGTTATACTGATTGATGAAATTTAGAAGTCATAAGGAATGTATTATTATCAGCAATGTGTTTAGTTTCATTGAAGTACCCTGTATTGTGTCTGAAAATGGAATAAGTGATATTGATAAAAGCTTGGTTTAAAAATGTTGCTTAACAATTGGATTGGTGAACAGTTATCAAATGTTGGAAAATTATTAACTGTAATTATAAGCTAAAAATCTTCGCATCTAGTCATGAGCAATAGTGTGAATAGTTTTAATAATAATGTAGTAATTAAATTCAGCAAGACACTATCAGGTTCAATGTTCCTTCTAACCTTCTTCGGGAACATACAAGGACCTGACTAGGAACAGAGAGCTTACTAAAGCTATGTTCACTAATTGTAGTAAGTAGACAGGATACAGACGAAGGGTATACAAAACCCTTTATTTTTCTCTATATACAATAACTTCCGTACTTTGGAATACAATGACCCGCCACTCGGGGTCTAACGTAAAAGTAAAAAAATAAAACTAAACTCTAATTTAACTTTAGAATAATACACTTGGAAGATTGGCCTTATAATAACAGGGAAGCGTATGTAGCCCAGAGACTGTGAACACTACAATACGTTTAATTTATCAAGAGGATTAAAACCTCTGGCCTGGAAGGCAAATAGCAACTGCGTAACTTCTAAGGTAAGCGGCCTGCTTCGAACTCACTGCTTCCTCTCTCTCTTGCTTGGCAAAAAGCCACAACTTAAGTACTTGGCGTTCGCCAGACAAACTTTGCATAAAATCCTTCACGCTTATAATTCTGGCCGGAAGTAGAAAATAAGAAGTGATAGTAAAGATTTAAAATAAAATAAACGTTAGTAAAACTTAAGATCCTTACAACACCAGGTGTTCTCTGAAATTCTGCTTTTCTTATTCAGATATATTCATGCAAAAAGGGAACAGTGAAATGTTTGGTTAAACACCGTTTTATGGCATATGGCTAATTAAAAAATATTCTCTTCTCTTTGGTTTAGTATTTCTGTTGAATGGTGAAGCAATCTGAGATTGGTTACTTAATTGACTACCAAAATATTGTAATAAAACTAATGGTACCTTTTGATCTTAATGGTACCTTTGAAACTAATGGTACCTTTTTGTTCTGTGGTCCGAAAAGTTACTTACTCTTTGTCGAGTAATTTTTCATCAAGCTAATATGAACAAAGTAACAGCGATTTAAAAAATGGTAGTACATTATGAATTCCATAAAAGAGCAATGAGCATAAAATATTTATCTCCTTCAAGAAATCCCTATGTAATGTTTATTTTAGCACTGTTGTTCTCCACATGTATACTGAGATCTGTTTTTGCTTCAAAAAACATAATCCATAAAATTTATTCATTTAAAAAGTAAACTTAATGACTTGTTACTGATGATTATTATCCTGTAAAATGAATCTTTTAATTGATAACTTGTTAAAATCTGTAATGCAAATCTACCAGTAACCAAGTGACTAAGACCACTGAAAAAGGTAATTTAGCTATTGGTAACTTGACTAACAGACTATATGAAGTTTTAATGAAATTTGTTATGCTTAATATGAATCAAACCAATTCCCATTAGAAAATGTTGTATGAATACATCACTTCGAAAGGAGATAACTTCAAATACTTTGTGATAAATAATCTAACCTGAAGACTACTAATGCAGTTTTAATGATAGACTGATACATAGGTTATGTTTTTTAATGCAGATATAGAATACGAAGATAATATAAAAGTAACTTCCAGCTACTTTTAAAAGATGATCTAGTATTTTATAAACTCATTCTCCAGTTGCTGTTTCAAGTTTTGTGTTTCTAATGCCATTTAAAAAAAGTTTAAAAAAAAAGGGGGTAGAGAGAGATTAGAGTACTTACCTAATGTAATAGTATAATATTAACAAGATGGCCATATGAATGTAGATTTATGAATTTCACGTAAACCCCTCTTAATGATAGAGAGACTTAAAATGAATATGTTAGTACACACTTGAAGTGCATTATTTGGAAGTTAGCGTGAAATTTTAACCTAAATCTCTAAGTAACATTCATATTATTTAATTTCTTTGCATATTCATATATTTATTATAATACTAGCCGCCATGCGGCCATCCTTCATCTGGCTTTTAAATGTACCAGAAAAATGCCTTCAAGGAAACACCAAACATAAACTTTAAAAACTGCACAAAATTTTACTCTGCATTATTTAAAAAAAAAAAAAAAAAAAAAAAAAACAGAAATTTCAATAATTGTGTTATACATGAAAAAAAATTACAATGAAATAAGCAATATCCCTTAATACAAATATTAATTATCCTAATAAACAAATTAACCAACTTCCCGTTGCAAAATCTTAAAAATTCAAATGGTGTAAAGGAAGTTAAGAACTTTGTTTATTACAAAAACATCATGCAAAACTGTGTATATAATTAAAACATAATATAAAACAATTACAATGAAATAAGCAATAAATTTCATATTTTCAAGAGAAAACGGTCAACAGTCCAATAACCAAAGTAGTGAATGAAAAACTGTTGCCAAAACCATATTTCTAAAAGAACGAAACTATCATCAGAAAACAATAGCCAATCAAAATTGTGCGTTGTGGATGATATAATTCAAAATATACAAACCTCTTTGCCATTAGCTAATAAAGAGAGAGGGAAAGAAAAAGAAAGAAATTCTTTCTGTTGTGTCTTGCGAGACGTATGTGTGTCAAAATAAGAAAATTGCAATGTGCGTGTTGTGTGTATAATTAATAATATTTTATCACATATTTTCAACAGTCAGTTTTTAATTTCTAGTTTATGATTTAAATTTTGTTTGCTATTTTTAGATTTTACTGTGCAGCGAAGTGAAGAAAATGGTGGTAATATTGTATACAAAGATTACACATCTTTAGAAGCAGATTTCAGAAGCCTAGTAAGTTTTGCTTTAATATAACTTATTATACTTATAGGTATGAATTTGATTAGAAAAGATACATCATATGTAGTGCAAAAATAGCATCATCCTTTTAAAAGCTGTTAATAATTAACACAAAAATTCTTTTTGACTGGATATGGGCAATAAGTTGATTATAAGTATTCTGTAATATACGAAGGAGGCTGTTTCAATGGGCATGTTCCACTTCCTTTCAAAAGGCACATGGAACTTAGAGACAGTGAGTAAGATCTTCGAGTAAAATCACAAAGAGAAAAGTATCTGGAAAGCTGTCATCAAAATAAAACTGAATATCTAGAAATATTGCTTTTAATTAACTTTTGGAATTGGGTTTCCTCGGAAAATTTGTTGCAAGTTGCCTTATACTGCATGCAAACAGCCGCCAGTCGTACAATCGTGCATTGCTTTCGCCATAAATGCTATCACCAGTTACTTCTGTTTCCTTCAAGAAGTCTTAGCAAATTTACTTCCAATAATAGAATCAATGAAAGAATTTTCCGTCCCTCATTACTGCAAAGTTCCAGGAGTCGTTTCCAAGCCTCCACCGACATTTTACGAATGGACAATGCAGACCAGTATCATATTCAATGTATTCAATGTAAAGTTAACAAAGTATTAGATTTTTCTCTTAGGAACACTTTTTACGTAGCTTTTTCTAAAAGCGTAATGCTTCATTTAATACTTAGTCATAATAATAAAAAATATAATGTGTCTAGATATGTATATTGTACTCATGATATATGTATATTGTACTCATGATATATGTATATTGTACTTGATATGTATATTGTACTCATGATATTGTTGTAATTCATTTAACACATATTTTATTATAATTTTAGACTTTACATCCTGGTGATCTAAAAGCTGCAGTAGAATCATATTTAAACAGATTACTTGATCCTATCAGAAAGAAGTTTGAAAATCCAGAGTTAAAAAAACTGTCTGAGCAGGCTTACCCACCGCTTAGCAAGAGTAAGATTATTTTTTATTTTAAAGATTTAAACTTTTCGCCATATTCCAAGTTTTTTTATGTATGTTATTAACTTTTGTTTATTATTTCTTGAAATATGAAATTTTTAATTTTGCAAAATTTTTGCTTAATTATATGTATTTGCAGTATTGATTTTGCTTTAATTTTTCAACTGGAAGTATGTTACAAGAGAGCAATGAATGTTATGTCATCATTACTCCCAGCTTTCAGAAATAGCTATATCATAACTGTCATAGGAATCAATGAAATTTCTTAATACCATTTTCATTAGATATAGTGAATGAATTTGCATGTTTTTGGTATGAAAAGAGTTAATTTCTAAGTAGTATTACAGTATATAATAATTATTTGAAAAAAATTTTTGATTAATTTTATACAAATGCACTGTTTTCTCAAATCATGATAATCAGTCAGTGGAATAACGATAAACAAAATACTTTGTGAAGAATTTTAATGAAATTTCGAGAAAATCTGAACTTCTTTTGAAAGTTTGAACAATGTAAAATTGTTTTATGTTGGCATTTTACATCAAAGCATTAGCTTAATAGAGAAACTTGCCTCAAAATAATGTAACAGATTGAAATTAGCAGATGACTTTAATAATGAGAATGATTAAATCAAGTAGCATTGCAGGGCAAGGAGGGATGTTTAACATTGCTTATGATAATGTCATTCACCTCAAATAAAAAATAAAGATACTCAATACAAAGTAAAGATCATTTTCCTGTAAAGTAGATTACCGAGCAGTAATTTACTCTTTTGGTCCCTGAATCTATGTGTTTTTGTAAGAATCTTGAACCAAATTGCCAATATTTCCAATCCTCATCATGGGCTAACCCATCATCATATGTCTGTGAACTGCTCAGACATTTCTTATTCAGCATGTAAATATTGCTTGAGACTTTTGTTGTTAATAGTCATTTAGGATATTTGAATATATGTTTTTTATTGTGCTATAGTAGGTAATCCTTGCTCTTATTTCTTTGTTTTGAACCTATTTGGATTACAGATTCTCTTTCAAAAAGTTTTGCGAGCTTTTGCATGTTCAGCTTGTTACTTTAAACAACAAAATATGTACTTCCTGTATGAAGTTCCTGAAGAGTAATTTCTTTTATTGTATTCAAAACATGGAGTAATGATTCATTTTCAGGTAACTGTATTGGATACTGCAATACAGTTATATAAATTGTTATATGTAGTGGCACAATATTCCTTTACTGGCTATGTGGCCTAATTGCAAGGAGAAATTTTAAGTTTCTGCACTTTTTCTATCTTTTAACTAATAGAAAACGATGTGATAACTAAGAAGGTCTTATCTTTTGTTATTGAAAAAGTTTATTCTTGTAAAAATGTTATAAAATGTGGCTTGATAAAATTTTAACCCCTTAATTGCCGCAGAAAACGTACAAGATTCATTTCCCAGTGCCACAGTTTTTCATACAGGAGCGCATAGTTATACAATGTATTGGGGGAAAATAAGTGCAAGTTTTACTTTCTAAAAACTGTTTACTTTCACAAAAATAAAGAATAAAAGAAAAAAAATTAATGCATAAAATTTAATGTTTTGAGTAAAAGTATAATAAAAATGATGTTTTTATAATAAAAAGATCTCTAAAATGGAGTTTCGATCAATTCATTTTTAGACCAGTAAAGTGTAATATCAGGTTTCAGTGTTATACCTTATGAAATCAGTATGCTTAAAAAAACATGTATTTCTTTGAACTGGTTGAATGCCACGATTTTGTTCTTGATTTTTTGTTTGCAAGGTGTTGGTTCATATACTCATCTACAAAATGGTTAGTTTCAGTAACAATATGAAGCACGAGCAGTTCATCAAAAAATAATTCAAAAAAGATAAATGGGTTTGAAACATCCGTTATATCTTTCTTTATTCCTACAACAAAAAGTAAACGAAAATGGAGGACACAGGAAAAAAAAAAAAAAAAATGTTTTACTCAAACAACACCAGCCAATACTGCACAGTCATTACTTTCATCACTTTAGACACACCCATCTCTCCAATTTTCCTTCACACTTCTCTGAAATAGTATCCGCCTTCGCATACTTTGTCAAGGTCATTGTGGTGTTGCATTCCAAAGCTTTGCAAATAATTTTACAAGTAGCAGTGCAAAGCAAATGATAGTAGTTTGAAAGGGCATATATGTGTGCCCGCGGCACTTAAAAGGTTAAATGGGTTCAGTGATAATCAAGGTATTGATAGCTGGATATGCATCAACATTGTCAAGATCCCATTGTATAAAAAAACTTATTAATAAAGTTAGTAAATAATAGTGTATTAATATAAAGCTGTACCATGTGTTAAGAAAGAATGATGTAAATAAATGCAAGGAAGAAATACAAAAAAATTATTTAATATATTTTCAAAATCGGTAATATTTTTTTAAATATAAAAAAAGTAAAATGTAAGAACAAAAAAATACAACCGAAACATTATGAAGGATGCAAAACTTCCTCAGGTGACTTATTGTTATATACAAAACATTTGCAAAATTTAAAAGTTATTTTAATATTCACTTCCAAGATTGTGAAAATTTGGATGTGCCAGCATAGCTCACAGAACTGGTAAACTGTGATATATCTCATCTTGATATTAGGGTGCAAGAAGAGTTGATTGCATTGAAAGAGGATGTTCAAGCATATTATTCAAAACACATGGGTATGCTAAGTTTTAGAATATAAATGTGATCCAAAAGAAATATCCCCAAATAAGGGTTGTTATTAAACATTATTGACATTTCCTTCTTACTTAACAGAAGCAGGCTTTATTCAAGTAAATAAATATTTTTGAATGAAAGCAATTTTTGAAAAATATATTTAAAAAAAAAGTGCCTCAGTACTTCAAGCACTCTGATTAAAATCAATTTTTTTCTCTACTCAGAATCTATGATATTGTGTATGAAAATTTAATGTATATTTGTAAAATTAAAAGTACAGTACAAAGTCCGAAACCCGGACTCATTGGGACTTCAGCAGTTCCAGATTTGGGATTTTTCCGGATAACAGGTCATCAGTTTAAATCTAGTCAGATGGCATGTAGAAATTATGAAATAAAAAATATGATATTGCGATTTATGAAATAATGAAATATTTATGATCTAAAGGGTATCAAAATTTACCAAAAAAAAAAAAAAAAAAAAAGCTTAATTTTTATTTGTTTACTTTATTGTAAACATTTTTTTCAATGTAAGTTGTTTTGAGTTGCTTCGTTTTTGTGCTAATATTTTCTCTTTAATTCTGTAGACAGACATAATCTCTTGTTCAGTTACATTGCTGAAGTCCTGTAACTGCTGTTTCAAGAATTCCGACTAACTTGTCAATCAAAATCGTTTTGTTTTCAGTAACTTCTCTGTTACTTTCTTCGCTGTCGATAGCGGTATTTTCTGGATCTAGAACCATACAACAGATTTCACCATTCATGGTATAAAAACTTCTTTTATATCATCATGATTTATTACCACTTCTCCACATATCTTTACAAAATTCATTAATTGGAAAATTTCACCTTTGTTTTGCAATATCTGAAAACCTTTAAAATTAGCGGCTATCATCATCAAATTTAGCTATCCTTCACTATACATATCTGACCACCTGATGCAGTCTGTGTGGGTCCCAAATTCTGTGACTCGCTGCGGCCATACGAGCCCTGGCGCTGGTTCTGGGTTTATGTGAGTAACAAATTACTTATTCTTAATTTAAATAGCCCTACATGTAATCTTTGGGTCTATGAGTATCATCAACAAAATCTATTTTTAGTATATGGAAAGAAATTTTTGGTAAATTCTTCCTCGTCAATATTTTTAGCACATTTAATTTAAATCTGAAATCATCACCAAGCGTAATGTCAACGTAAAAGGTTACCATAATCCTTTATTATTCAATTACTAACATAAAGAAATCGTTTAGGCATCACTACATGAATCATCACTCAAGTTGTCATCTTTTGATAAACATGCAGTGGTGAAAGGAAAGTATAGTAAATAATGATTCGCCAGGTTGGTGTCAGATCAACAGTTTATCTATGTGGAATGTTTCGGTTTGAGATGTGTGTCAAGGAGACACGCAGCAACTGAGCCAAATTACTGATCGTATAAATTTATGCTAAAATGATTGTTTCTTCAATAACAAGGTATTTTATTTAGCGTCAAAGTGAAATTAAGAATCAGGACTTCTCCAGATGTTTTATTATGCGCAGGGGGGGGGATCAAATGCGCATGCGTAAAGCCTACGAGAAAAACTTCGTTGGTAGTTTTGAGGTCCAGATATTGTACGTCCGGATTTTGGACTAATAATATAAAAAGCAATAAAACATAAAGAAAATTTTTTCCAAAACTTTTGTTCATAATTTTAGTCCAATTGCTATTTTTAAGTTATTTATGTGCAATTATTTACATTATAATTACGTTGTATGCTGTATATTATAAAGAAAAATGTAAGGGACTCAATGAAGAAAACCATTTTAGAAGGTATCAATGTAAAAAAAGGGTTGGGAATCCCTAGTTTAATTGAAGATTTACTAAGTTTTTGAAGAAATATTATCTACTGTTACATAGTTTTTCTATTTTTTTTTTAAGCCTTCATATTTAAAATGTGTTTTTTTTTTTTTTTTTAAACCTGTTAAATACTGTGACAACCCTTAGGCTACCACAGCATTAAACATTCATGTGGCAGGGTTCAATAAAATCTTTAATTTCGTGCACTAAGAAGAAAAAAGTAAGAGAGATTTAAATTGTAAATATATTAAGTATATCTAGGATGGGAATTTGCATGTGAGCTTTCAAGTTTTTGATCCTTCCTTTCACCAACTGAGAATTGCCTAAATTAGCTTGAACATAAATTGATACAAGTGAAAAATTATGCTTAGGTTGAACATTTTCGAGTTCATAATTTGAAGTGTACACCATGTAGCATTTTCATTATGTCAGTTTTTGAGAATCACTTAGCAACTCGCTAGTTCTTTATTGTGACAAAGATGAAAATTATAGGAATATTACTTGATATGCTGAACAAAATCAGCCAAACTAGCTTGTGCCTTTTTTCCGTAGTTTCAGTTATACAATATATTTGTGTATATATATAAATTAAATGTTAATCTTTGTGCATAGTTTGTAATTCATGATGAATAACAAATGAAGCTATGAACCAAAACATCTAAACACGCTATTATTCACATCATTGATTAGTTAATTAATTGAAGGACATAAATGTGCTGCATTTCCTGTCTTGATCAGGGCAGTATCCACATTGATAATTTATATCTCAGGAGCTCAGGAACTCTCTGCTAAACTTGGCATGGAAGATCTCTCAATAGGTATTCAATTGTAGTTTTTATTATGTAAAGCTTTTATTGGATATTTGTTATATTGATGTTACAGTTTGTCTTCTTAAAATATTATAATATATTTTCATTGTAGAAGGGAAACTTGTAAATGATCTTCCTGTTTCACCTGCTCGGCTAGATATTCGAATTGGTAAAATTCTGGAAATTCAAAAGGTGAGCTATTTTGTAATTTTTTCTCATAGTTTTTGATGGAATGTTTGCATGTGTGCAATCTTATTTAAAAATTAATGTCTTAAGTTGAGTAATTTCTGCTAGCTGTTGGTACTGCTCATAGGAGTTGAAGTGTGCATTTTAATTGGGTGTATCAGATTATTACAAGTCATTTTAATTTCTAACTCTCTGAGTTGATCTTTTTAACTAAATGTGTTTAGAAAATTTGGCTTTCCTGTGTGATATGTAAACAGATTCTTGAAATAAAATTCCATTTATTAACTATAATAATAAAACATAAATTTGCTAAATGGAAAATCTTGAATATCAAATTAAAAACAAAAACTGTTATTTTATTTTTGTAATTGGTTTCTCGTAGGATCAGAAATAATCTCATAAATAAATTTTTCTTTAAATACTTTATAAACTGTACTGTATGATTATTTCCATTTTTAAATTTGAAATTCTTTATTTTTAAACCTTTTCACAGATATGTGTATCTAGTGTAAGATTATAATGATGCAGAAACGCTCAAACACCAAATGAGCATGATTTTAGTATTCTTAAAGAAAAATAAAACTTATTTTAAAACAATCTGAAAGGGTTCAGATTTTAACCAAAAAGGGCTCTTTTAAAGTTTAATTTTATTTATCAGTATAGGAACCATATTCATATTTATCAGTATAGAAACTTGAGATGTTTTAGTGAAATATATGAAAGTTAAAAAAATATCAAACAAGTTTATTATGTAAAAATAAGATAAAATGTTAGATAGTTTTAGTGAGACAAACCATATGAATGTCTAAAATTGATAAAAGAATTATGAAGAACCTGGTATGGGAAAGCCATTAAACAAAAAGTACATTCCAGAAAAATTCTGCACTATTGCTATTCAATTTAGGTTACTTGTCTTTACACAGCTTGCACTGGAATTTGCTTTAGGTTTTCCTTTAGAGATGGTGTTAATGAAAGATACACACCATATAATTTTTTTCTGCTTTTCATTTCTCTCCATAGATGGCATTAGCTGCTTATTTTCCTTTTGCTAAAGCCAACTGTTAAAGCTTACAAGGAAAAAGTTTCTTTTGTATGTTACTGAAGGCTGGAAAAGTCACTGACTTTCAGTAACATAAATAAAGAAAGAAATCACACTTCAGAATAAATATGAACTTGTTTGTGCAAGTCACTACTTGCATCATAGTTTTTAAGTAGTGACTTGCACAAACAAACTACTTGCGTTGATTATTCACAAAAATAAAACCCAGCTTAAAATAAAAAAATTAATAATAAAAAACAACTGAGAGGATAGGATTTAGATTTTAAAATCACACAAGTAGATTTGTTAAAATTTGTATGCTTTAGCTGAGCACCATAAGTTACCAGTCTGCTCTTGAACTCATTTCACATTTTTTTGTCTTTTCAGCTTTTTTTTATTAAACATAGCTTTCTTTATACTTAAACACATAAAATTCAAGAGAAAGATATTTAAAAACAGCATATTTCTTAATATCCTGATAGAGTGTTAAGGTTTGCCATATATATTTTTTATATTCACTATATTTCTTTAAAAACTAGCCACTTGAGCAGCTAGCCACCTGAAAGAGTTATGAATAAAAAAAGTATGTAATGAATCTAATGCGTCTAGCTAGTTCATTTCATAAAAATATATAATTTTCTAATTAAACATTTCATGATTTAAATCAATCAGATTAAAAAGTAGGAAAAAAATTAAGAAGTGTGTTTATTGCTTTTCAGTCACTTGGTTTGCTACTTAGTGACAGAAAGATTGAATATCTGTACCAAATAGCAACGAACTGGTGCATAAGTGTTTTATTTGAGGCAGTGGCAACACATTGCTTTTAAATACCTCATTTTGTGGATTAAAATTGAAAGATAAATATCCTACATTTGACTGAATGGCAGTTTGACAGGTTGGAGATAAAAAATGTGTCATTTCAAACAGTATTGCCAATTCTTACTTTCAAGTTGAAAGTTTCAAATTTCTTGCTTGAATTTGTAACAAAAGTCCATTAAATTCATACAAAATAAGAAATAAATTAAAAAAAAAAAATGTGAAGTTCAGAATTTGGGCTTTGATTTGCTCATGTTTGGGTTGAAGACTGCTGGTATTAAAAATTTGGTATCTCTAGGTGCCATCATTTTCCCACAATGCGAGAAGCATACATACATGGTCTTATAATACATTACGATAACTTCTGGTGACAATGGTTTCAAAAGTAATATGGGCAAAAGTGAGTTTTGAGACTAATAGCACCTCTGGTGCCAACAGTTTTTTTGAATATCACTTATATAAACAGGCAGCAAGTTTCTGTTTTCTTGTATCTACTTGCAATAACTGAGATTTGAAATTGTCATATCATAATAATGTAGATTTTCTAGTTTATAGTGTAGCACATTTCTCAGTTACTTAATATTCTTTCCAAACGGCCAGCAATATTATTTTTTGTTATATTAAGGGTTCTTTTCTCTTTCCGTAAATCATCCCCCTTTTAAAAGAATTGTTTTCATCGACCCCCTGACATTTTTGTATATAATATCCAGCATACAGCATCATCACAGTACAAATACACTGGTGTGCAAAAATTAAGGACGAGACGGTTTTTTCAATATAACTTTGTACAAAAGCTTTCCAAATCAACACATTTAATACCGTAAGATCCTCAATACGTAAGGACATGAGTAATGTAAGCAACACTTACTAAAAGAGAAATCAGAGGGATAAAAAGAAGCTTTATTGAAAAAGTAGCATGGAACGCAATGCGACTGAAGGCCGAAACATCCGTGTGATGGGTGTCCAGCAAGAAACATCCGGTCTTTAATAGGGGATATGATCTCCCCTGACTGCTAGGTAGGTTTCACAGCGTCTGCCTATGCTGAGAATGAGGGTGTCAATGAGTTGTTGAGGCATTGCTGCCCATTCGTCTCGCAGCGCCAGTCGAAGCTCCGGAATCGTTACTGGTGGTAAGGTACGAGCTGCCAAGCGTCTGCCTAGAAAATCCCATACATGCTCGATGGGATTGAGATCCGGAGATCGTGCCGGCTAATCCATACGTTCAATATCCTCACTCTCTAAGAGCTGTTCGGCATCTACTGTGCGATGACATGGTGCATTGTCGTCCATGAAAAGGAACTGCGGACCCATAACGCCTCTAAAAAGACGCACATATGGAAGAAGAATCTCGTTACAATAACGGGTCCCGTTGACTGAACCTGCGTCGAAGATGTGAAGGTTTGTACGACTACCAAGCATGATGCCTCCCCAAACGAGAACACCGCCACCTCCATACATGTCCCTTTCAATGATGTTCGAGGGATGATTGCGGCTTCCCCACTCTCTCCAGATGAGTATGTGATGAGAATCGCTACTCAAACTGAATCTGCTCTCATCTGTAAAGAGTACTCGTCCCCATTCATTGTCTCTCCAATTCCGGTGTTCCCGGCACCACAGAGAACACCTTCTCCGATGGGCAGGCGTTAGAGGTACACACCGTACAGGGCGTCGTGCAAACAGACCATGGTAAAACGCAATATCGGTCGTCCAGTCGCCTGTGTCGTGTGTCTAGCGATTTTTCCCGCCTGTTTCTTCTGGCCTGTAAGGCAATATACCGGTCATCTGCGGGTGTGGTTCCTCGTGGACGACCACTACTAAACCCCCAGATAGCTGTTCCTGTAGTTTGAAATTGTCTCCAGTCGTGAAACGATGCTGTGAGCAATTCCGAACTCTGCTGCTACACTTATCACACTGCGGCCTTCCTTGAACTTCCCAATGATTCGACCTCGGGTAAAAGCATCCAGATGTCGTCTAACAGATTGATTATTCACCATTTCTCGCTGAGGCAGCAACTCGGTGTGATTTTAACTGCTATACGGCGTGCAATCTCTTTGACAGAAATACTGATCTTACACCGACAACATGCTTTATACTATTCAGACACTCCCCCATTACGTCTACCTGCATATCTGCGCATGTGCTACCGTACATCACCTTACTTAATCTTCTGATTGGTCTTTCTGTCCGCTCTGCCTCTTCGTTCAGCTGATATGCTAATTTTTCGACTTCGTCCTTAATTTTTGCACACCAGTGTAAATACACATTAATAACTTAAGATAACAATTAGACTACGAATATAAAAGAAGTATTAGAAAAATGTTTTATGCTTTTTAATTTTATAAATGTAAAAAAATAAATAAATATAATTTAAAAAAAAAAAAAAAAACAGAAACAAAGTCATTGATTCTAATTGCACTAAAGTTCGATTCTAATTATTTTCATAACTCACTTGATGTATTGATGAAATATTTTTTAATAATATAAAAATTGTTTAGTTTAATTCTTAAATCACCTCGTTAAAAATATTCAGTGTTTCCTAGTTTCTGCAGCAAATTTTGACTTAAGACAGCCTCCACTACGAAAGAAGAGGAAAAAATTAATAATGTTAATTCAGTAACAACCTCTGTTTTGGGATATATCTTTCAGATGACTTTTTAATTCGAAAACTTAATGTCCCTATGTGGTTTGAAGACTTGTCCTTGAATACCCTGCTTCAGTGCAATCAGTTCTTTTTTCATAATACCAAGATTAGATACATGGCATTTTGCCACAGTAGTTTCCACAACAGATGTGGTAACACAGTGTAAAGGTTTCTTCTGTGATGGGAAAGAAAAAGAACAGGATTTAGATAGTGGACTTCTTGTTAATATAAGGGTACACTTACATATTGAAGAAGTCATTTAACCTGAACTTGACAAGTTTCAAGGCCTGAAATCAGTAAAACAATAAATAATGTTCGGGTTTATTAAACAATTAATTATATTAATAATTTTATTTTTTGGGGGATCATGTATATATCAATGGGATCTGATGAATTTGCAGTGCATATTTGGCTGTCCACATCCTTTAAAATTTCAATAACCACCCAGTGGGTTAATACTTACCTCGTTGGGAACGTATGTTGCAAAGAATTAGTTTGTATAATGTTACATGACATCTCTCATTTGTATGCAATCTTAAGTAGTATTTCATCACTGCATGTAATGTTAAGTATTATTTTTATTCCCTTTTTGCTTTGTTTTGTTAAAAAAACCATTGTTCCTTTAATTTGCTTATGTGTTTCATTTTTGTTTCTAATTGAATATATAATATTTATTGTTATTCAGCATCCAGATGCAGATAGTCTTTATGTCTCCAAAGTGGACTTAGGAGATTCTTCCAGGCCTAGAACTGTTGTTAGTGGATTAGCAAAACTTATTCCTCAAGAAGAGCTGGAAAATAGACTCGTTGTAGCTTTATGCAATTTAAAACCAGCCAAAATGCGTGGAATTGAATCGCAAGCTATGATATTGTGTGCATCACGGTAAATACTTTATAATTTTATTCATTCACATGCTATAAGTGAATAAAATTGAAGACTTTAATAATATTAATTTTATATATGTATGTGTTAGATAAATTTTGCAAAAGTAATCAATCTATTATGAGTTTATTATTCATATATTTGTATTAATCGCAACATGTTGATTTTCATTATTCTAGACAATAAAGACCGTTAGTTTTTTTTATTTGAACGAATTAATGAGCATATATATACATTAGAGATTTAAAATTTTATGTAGGTTATGTGGCATGCATGTATATATTAATGGATAAATTAGTAAACCGAGTTATTATAAGTATTTAATAAATGTGTATTAAGAAACAAAATATATTTATATATATAGTGGAATAGTATATATATTTATTGTCTAGTGGAATAGTATATATATTTATTGTCACATATAAAACAATTTTTTCACCTTGTACTGATTATTATTGATTAATATTAACAACCATCTTTCTATGGAGAATGGTTTTTCTCAGTATCACTCACTAGTTTTACAAAGTTGACTTGTAATCAGGGCTGTGAGTTGGTAGGGAAAATGACTGACTCCAGCCCTCTCATATATACGTATATGTAAACATATACGCATAGGATACAGCTTATTTTTTTAGTATAAAAGAAGTCAGAGATGCTACAAAAAATATATATTAATTAGCATTTATTATGATATGGAAAAACTGACATTAGTTATTTCTAAGAAACAGTACAGCTTTGGTAAGATCTTTGTTGGAGGGCCATAGATCCGATTTGATAAACTTCAGAGCTGAGAAAAGTCTTTCCACACTAACTTGAATAGGAGGAAGAGCTGTTACTATTAGGGCTATTTCTTTTAACTTTTCAGGATACATTTTTATAAGTTCTAAAAGAGATGTCTTGCAAGCACAATCATATTTCTCTATTTCTTCAAAAGGCCATGTGGAAATCTTGTTTCTATTTTTTCATTTTTATATCTAAAGGCTCTTGGTTCTTTATTTTCATTCGCTTTGCCTTAACCTTTTCGATATTATCCAAAAATATTTATGAAAATCTAATTCATCTTTGGAAGAGGATGATAGAGACTCAGTTGCAATGTCTGCAGTTTGACGTCCTGATTCGAATTCTCCAATTGTTCTGAGAATAATTTCATTCTTAATGAAAGTTCATAGATGGCTCTCTTTGCTTTTTTAATTTGTTCGTCATCCACAAATGTTTCGGATCTACATATATTGAACGTAGCAAGATCTCATTGTCTAGCAAACTAGTTTTCTTTTCTTAATTGAAGAAATGATTCCTTCTGCAATAAACCCTCCATTTTAGAAAGAACAAACATCACATTCTTCCATTCTCACCTCCTGTCAGTTCTTCAGATTGCAGCTATATATGCTAGAAAAAAAGAGTTTCCAATTGTGCAAGGTCATTTCACAGTCTTTCTGTTAGCGAAATATTAGGGTTATCTACATCTTCTAAAAAAGTTCTTAATTCTAACAATCCCTTTATCATCAAATATGTACTTCTCCATTTCGTTGCTCCTTTTCCTGCTCACTTTCTAAGAATGGACATCAATTTTGGGAGTTTCTTGCTGCAATGTTGCTTACCTAAATTCACCAATGAGATTTGTAACTAAACGAAGTTAACTAAATGAATTCAGTTTAATCAATAATGGCAAATATCACGTCCATCCTGCTCCCTTATATTTATTTATTAATATGTCAATAAAACAGAAAATAACTATTTATTAATGTATATTGTTCATGAATAAAAATAATAACTCAGCTTGTCATTAATTTTTTTTCAATCCATATAAATTTCATTTCAAATTCAAACTGTCCAATGAAAACTGGAGTCGAAGTCGACCTGTTTTTAGTGACTCCAGCTCCAACTCCTTTTACTCCAAAATCTGCCTGACTCCAGAGTCCTGCTTGTAATATCATAATTAAATTCAGCATAGAGCCATGAGCATTTCCATATTTCCTGCATCACCAACAGTGTTGTGGTCTCTTCTGTTTATTCACCGTCTTTGAAAATTTGTTCATTCAACTGTTCAACCAAAATGAAAAATCTTGTCATTAGGGCAGGCAAACGAATCGATCATGATCCACTTGCAGCTGCTATTTACAGTCAGTTCTGAAGGCTAAATCATGAATGTTCTCATCTGATACCATATTACCTTTATGAAACTCCAAATGGTATAAATACTTTATGATGATTGTGATTGAAACCTTCTGCGAGGACATCTGAAGGCTTGCAAATGCTGTTAGAATGTTGATTAAACATAATGTTGCATTTTTTTTTTTTTTTTTTTTTTTTTTTTTTTTGTTGGGTGGGGAAGAGGGAGGAAGAGAAGAGAAAAAAGAATAAACACCAGTTTCAGATGATGTTTTTTATTGAATTTACTTCTTGCACCATGATTCTCAAACAGAAAGGCAGAGAGATCTTGTCACCATTCACATGGGCATTGCACTAATGTTCCACCCACTGATGCTGTGATGTTCCTTAAATCAAATTAACTAACTATCAATGTATGAGAAAAATTTTAATTTTCTTCCATTTTGATATTCTGCTGTTTTATTTCATATAACTCTTATTAATGGCCATATTTTTACTGTACTGTGTTAAATTATCTGAAAAGCAAAAATTCAATTCTAAGCACTGTAACAAAAAGTTCAAATGTTCTGAATATCTTTGTTTATCCTGGATTCTCAGAACAGTTGGCAGTTGAAGAGTAAAATTCATTATCCTCTCATTGTGCAGAAATTCAGGGAAGTTTTTGCGTACGTTTGATGTACTTCCTTCCCGCTTTTGGTAATTTTTACTTTTTCCCTAATTGACAGTGCATTATTTTGATTAGAATGTTTTTGCTATTAAAAGTGCTTGCATTACTTTGGCATATCAAGTTTTATATCTAGTTTCTTGCTATTTATGAACTATCCATTCTATTTTATGATATTCTAGTATTTTTACTCCTTTTTTATATTAAATGTAGTTACTCAATTACTGTTGCTGCTTTAATTAACTTGTTCATATTATTCTACATTATTTTTATTATAATATTTTTTTCTAAAAAAAAAATTCCATTTATATGTTTTTTAAGTGAGGAACCAAGAGAAGTGGAACTTTTATGCCCACCAAACAACAGTAAACCAGGAGATCGAGTATTTGTGGAAGGTTATGAAAATTCTCAGCCTGATGATCAACTTAATCCTAAGAAAAAAATATGGGAAACACTGCAGGTAAATTTATCTTGATAGCAAAAATATTTGTTGTAAGAAATGATCTGATAAATAACAAGCATAAATATGATAAATGCAAGTTTTTTAAACCTCTTTAATTTAATTAAAAAAAGATTTTAAATCTCTCTTTAAATTGAGAAATGTGTATGTGTAGAAACACTGAAAGCAAATCATTGCAGCAATATTAAAATATTGGATGCACTGTTTGTATCAAAAGCAGAAAGTTATTTTCTGTTAAGGAATATGTTTGCAATTTAGGTAGCAAAAAATGCTTTCATTTTATATATCCCCCATTCTTCCTAATCTAATGCTTATCATAGTTTCAAGTGAATTCTTGTTTTCTTCTAGGCTGATTTACGGACTTCTAACAACTGTATTGCAGAATGGCAAGGGAATGCATTATTAACATCAGCAGGAACAGTTAGAAGCTCATCGATGAAAGGAGCACCTATTAAATAATTTTACTTCTAAAAATAAATTATGTAAAGGCTTGCTTTGTATTGTGATAAAAATAGATTACATGTAACACAGAAATTCAGTATGTTACAATTAGTACAGAAGGGTACAACTTTCAGTGATATATTTATTTATTTTCTTAAAAGGACACTTGCTGAATGCTTCACTCTGAGCTTTAATGTTTTATTATTTTATTGACCAAAGTCTTTTCAGTTTTGCTAATGCTCATGATGATAACTTTCTGTTCCAGCACAATCGTTTTCCCATGCTCTTAACTATGAAAAAAATAATTAAACTGTTTCATCTGTTATCTGTATCAATTAAATGCAGATATGGCTTAAATATATCTACATGTAAATAAGTTTTAATTTTAAGACATAAATAAAGTATGAAGACTAAAAATCATTACGACCAGACATTCTTATTTATATTTAATCTGAACATTTATTGGATTAACTATTTATAATTCTTGTATTATTCTGTGCATAAAAATAAAGTTAGATTACAAAGAAAAATTCTAAATATTTTTGTTAGTGATAGTTCAAATTTTAATAAATTTCTAATACTACCGATTTATCACCGATTGAATTTAATTGTTTTGTTAATACGCAAATAGAGAGTTCTTTAGTCTTTTTTTTTTTTCTCTCCCTTCACTGAAAAGTTAAACCATTAAAGAAACCGATCTCACAAAAAAAAAAAAAAAAGTGCAATTAATGAAGTTTATTGGGAAATGAGTAATTTAGTTAGCATACTTTTTAGCATGCGACTATATGCAAGACTTCCAGAATATATATAAATTATTAAATTTTTATATAATCTTATACTTTTAATTTCTTGATTTTTAACAACTGGGTAGGCGTCAAGTATTGTTAAAATGCATGTGCATCTGTTTACATTTTTCATTTAACACACAGCTTTTTACTTATTTATTTAAAATTTAAGAAATGCACTATATATAATTAAACTTTTGGCAGATAAACTTGCATAATTAACTTTCAGTTAATAATAATAATCAGAGTAGTAATGTAACAAAATATTATTGTTCTATGTATAAAATTAATATTACACTTAACATACTAGATTCATTTTTTATAATAAATGTACAAAGTGTTTAAAAAATGTGCAAACATGATTAAAAGCAATTTGTTTATTAATTTACTTGTAAATAAATTTTACCATTTAAATTAAAAAAGACAAATTAAAATTTTTTTAAACCACACCAAGTTCAAACTGATCACTATTCTGGTTCAAGCACTGCTGAAAGCATTGACCCATTGGAAATGTAAGCATCTGAATAATTTTGTTTGGTATACAAAAACTTAAAAAAAAATAATAATAATAATAATAATAATAATAATAATGATGGGTACTTTCAATTTATTATCTTTGGATGATTTTATATCATAAACCTCATCTTTGATGTGTACACTTCTAAAAATTCTAAATATTTTTGTTAACTTTTGGATCGGTGCATCTTTTTTAGATACATATGGAACAGCAGTTATGCATTTAAATGGTAGTTTGTTTTTAAGATTTTTTTAAAGAAATATTTTTAATAACAGTCTTTTATACTAAGTGACAGTAAATCTGGTAATTGAATAAAGACGATCATTTTGCCTAGAGGTTTAAAAACAGTGTTTGGCATGAGGTCTGGTTTAGGGGATACATTTAATGCTGGCCCTTGATTAATCAAGCCATTCAGTACATTTTCATGAAAAATAAGCCCTGTACATTGCGAAGATAGTCAAAATATGTTTCTTCGATTATCCAGACAACTGGAACTAATATTGGATACTATTTGTAGACAGTGGAAATAAACTCCCTGTGTACTTTTTATTAGTGCTGTAAAATTAATATGTATTTATGCCTTTAGATTAACTGGGGCTACAACCCTTTCTAGAAAGGTAAGTGGTTCCCCCCCTTTTCTGTCCAGGCCAAGTATGCGTTATGATGTGAAAGAGAAAATACATTTATTTTATTATAATAAAAGCTTATTTATTTTTAAAAAATTCCATAAAAGTAAAATACAAAACGTTTTTGACAAAAGGAAATTTAATCATCTCAACACATTTAATTAAAATAAAACACTGAAACTTTATTCATATCAGCCATGAAACCAAATATATAAACTTGTATATATCAATATGTAAATTTATATAGTGATAAAAATATCTTCCCCCCTCCCAAATGCATAATTATTATGACTATACAATACAGTCAAAAGTCTTTAATTAATATTTATTTGTTTACTTTATTAAACATTTCTTTCAACGCGCGCATGCATAAAGCATACATTACGCATAGTCGAAATTAGAAAATTGCAACCAGAAAACTATTTCATGTGTATTCGCGATATTTATAATGATGAGGAATTTGATTTAAATCATATCAGAGTACATCGAGATGAAATACTACATTTAGTAAGGAATTATAAGCCAAATAAAATAAAAACATCTGCCCTGAAGATAAGGATAATGCTGACAGATCAACTTCCAGTTCATTGTGCGGCATGACGTCCCCACCCCTTCCCGCAGAGCAGCAGCGTGAAATTGATAAACAGATTTTGGAATGGTTAGAGAATCAAAGGATATGCCTTTATCCATTTTTTGCAGCAATTCTACTTTTTGTTTGATGGACATTGAAACACGATTTCGCTTTGTAGATCCTTTTGACAGCTCATGATGATTCTTTTTGACATAATCGAAAGTTCAAGCTTACTTTTATAAAATTGCTCTAACAGTCTGCAAAAAATAATAAGCCGTCCAATTAGAAGATTAAGGAACAATGCAATTTGCAACATTAACTGAAATAGATAATTTTAGCTTAGCTTATACCGTCCGTTATACATTAACCGCACATGTGTAAAGGTATTATGTGCATGCTTTAACGCATATGCGCATGCGTAAACGCATTAGAGCTTGTAGCTTTTCAGGTCCGGATTATGGATCATTCCGGATTAAAGACTTTTGACTGTATTAGTGTACGTTTCCTAACTCTTAATAAGCTTTTATTATGCAACACAATTTTTATTATTTAATTTTCTGAAGTTATATTCAGAGGTAGAATTCAGGTGCTCGTACCAGTTATGCAAAACTGCTTTTTAAAATGGTTTTCGTTTGGCAAACAGATTAAAATTGAACTACAATATATATATTCTGACAATACATTACTATTTAATAACTAATGTTATTGCTTATTAGGCAATAAAATGGTTCTTGAAATTATGAATCGGTTATACTGAAAATACTACATGGATATTAATGAAACTGATTGCAGATTCGTTAAACAGTTTGTAAAACAATCAAGTGACTGCTCGGCTTACTCTAGAATAGTGGTCTCAAACTGCATGCAAGCCCCAAATGTCGAACTGCATGCAAGTCCCACATGTCTGCATGTAGAATGTAAAAGCGGCTGATGGGTCACAGTTTTTTTTAATAAAATGCAAGTGACATATATATATATATTGAACCAACCAAATCAGCAGACAAGAAGTTATGTAGGGTTCTAAATGACTGGTATTCAGATAATGTAGATCTATGAACCACATGTTACAAAGGTTTACTTTATCTCCATCTGTATAGCACTGTAATATAAAATGTGCATGTGTCGCCAATTAGTTACTGAGTGAAAGAAAGTATACATTAGAAGTAGCAACTGAACAGATAGAATCAGAGACATCAAAAATACTAAAATGGCAACAACTATTGGCTGGCAAAATAAATTTAATGATTATACTGATATGGGGTACCCCAGTCAAGTGGCCCAGCATACAAACATATGGTAATATACTATAGGGGCCCTCTTTTTTTCTCAGCATCAGTCATGCACATAAGCTCTATCTATATCAAAAATTATAAATACTACATTTATAACAAAAACAGTATTAAAATGCATTTGGGGGCTGCACGAAGCCTGCCAGTTTCAGGCTACTGCTGTAGAAGACATAATTTTTCATAATTTGTAAAACTAATGCATGTGCACAAATTAAGGTCCTCACCAATAAAAAAAAAATATTTATTTATATGAAAGTAACTATATATATATCATAAATTGACATTTGACTTAAAAATTTCAAATCTAAATAAATTTGATGCAATACAATTTCAAAACAAAGCTGTTTAATATAGTACAAAAATCTTTCTTATGTTAATTACCTTAGTTTTAATTATTACTTTGTAAATAAGTTTAAAAAAATCACTTAAATGTAAAAATTTTAGTTATGAAGTCTTGGAGGATATGGTTCAAGGTTAAACATAAATGCTAATACTGTCTGTCTATGAAAAGAACAGCTCCCATCACAAAGGGTGGCGGTTGCTATAGCAACTGGTCGAGTACATAAAAGTAGGGCCAAACCAAAGAATGCTTTATTATTTTGTTTTTGGCAACTGTTTGCTGCAGGAAAAAGAGCTTATCAATCATCTTCAAGACACCCCTATGGAAAATGGGTCAAGACTCGTTTCTACGGCAAAAGACAGCTGCAGACAAACTCACGAGAGCTTTTCTTATGATAGGCAGACTGTATTAGCACAGTTCTAAATAATTATGCAGGCAATATAATACGACTTAATTTTATAAAAAAGAATAAATTTTTAAGGGAATGTTTGAATGTGCGATACCAGAGAAAAGTAACTCACATCACAGTTAACTTTAAAATTGTCTGCATTTTTCTTGAAGGACTTCATAAAAGTCATTGTTATTAAGAAGCCTAAATATTTCAATATAATTTGACTTCTGAGACAGTTTATTTTCAGAAATCATTTCTTGTTTTGAAGAGCATGAACATTCGCTCTGAAAATCAAATGACAAGTAAAAGACATTTGACTCATCTTTTTCTAACAGAAAAACATGGAAAAAATCTCAACAGTTTTATGAAAAGTCAAAAATTTGTTGGACAGGAAAAGAATTTTTCTATTAATTTATATTCTAATATAATAATAAACATAGCTAAATTTTACTTCAGCTTATTTGTACAGTTTAATTATCTGGACTGGAAAGAACTCTGTACCTAGCAATTTACTGACCATCATGAAATCATTATTGATCTAAATTAACTTAATTATAAACCAATTTGTTTACTGCAGTTTTTAAAATTTATAGCTATAAAACGTTTTCTAATTTATTGAATTATTACATTTAATTTTATTTATTCAAAATTTTGTCAAATCTCTGAATTATACACATAATGCAAATACTGAGCTATAATAAGACTTAAAAAAATATCTGTGAAATGTTGAGAAATAATTTCAATGATTTTGGCACTTGTAATAAAACAGTTCACAGTAGAGCAATGTTCCCCTCTTGTATATCAGATGCATAGTGATGGTTATAATTGATCATAGTCTTATTAAATTTTTAAAAAAGCGATTTAATGATTTTCTGAGAATGAATGTAGATACACTAATACACCCATCTAGTAGCTTATATACTTTTATTTTACACATCAAACATTCATTACACACATGCACAAAAAAAAAAAAAAAAAAAAAAAAAAAAAAAAAAAAAAAAAAACCCTTGCCAGGCTTTTGAAGAGCATAAAACATGAGTTAACATTTGCAAATATTATTTACATTTTCCTGATGATAAATAAACTTAAGTTTATTGTGCACGATAATAGAAATGACATACTTTAGTATTAAGAAACCTGTAGAAAATAGTGCACATTATTAATAATAATAAAAATTTCCTTGCATTTTAGATAACAAAATCCTTAATTTGATAAAAATATTTGCAATCTTAGAAATAAAGAATCTGTAATAGTTTTTATCCTACTTAAATGTATTTTTGAAGGTCTGAAATACTCCAATAAAACATTCAGCTTTTAAAATTATTAAGAAATCAAATTCTCATGTAGTTCTGAAATTTTACAAACTTTATTTGCATGCAACAATAACTAAAAATAAATCACATATTTATCAAATGTGAATGGTAGAAATATTTACATGAAAATGAAATTCTTATTTATACATATTTTGCTTGGCAAAATTTTTAAGAGCTGTAATTATCTCTCGGTTATTGTTGAGATTCTGATAGTTGACAGCTGCAGTAACTATAGCCTTGTGAAACTCATTTGGATTTGAGTCGTACTTTTGCATAATGTTTCTTACTACCCTTTCCAAAATTTTTCTAGATTCTTCTTTTTGGCCCTGGTCAGCTTTTCCGGCAGAATTTTTAGATGGTGAAGCAGCTAATTCTGACTCGCTTTCTTCATCCACATCCATCTGAATGTCAAATGCTCCTGTTTTCATTGTTCCAGTAGCAATCCAGAAGAGTTCTTTTTTAATAACGTCATCATTGGGCACAGAACTAGTAAAGTCGATTTTTTTAGCAACACATACTGTATACAAATGCTTACAACGAGCCCCATTAATACCCAGTGCACAAGAGCACACACAAATATTCATATCTACACAATATGATTTACCACTTTTTACATTCTTAACTTCATACTGTCCTGTAGGCATTGTTTTAAGCACTAAATCGGAAGTTTCCCGCATTTCTGGTGGATAAGAAGATAGTATGAATATATCTAAAGTATTATTAATGCAATGAATAATTTTTTGACGATAATATGTTTCCATTGTATCCGTGTAATATTTCAATAACTGAAGGATATTGTATGCTTTAGTAAGGAAAACTTTATCTCTCAAGATGTGACTGGCCATTTCAATGCCACTGATTTCTTTATCTTTGTCAAGAATTTCATTTTTGAAACACACAGCCCACCTATCTGATATGCTTTTTATTTCTTCAAAATGGTTTTGAAAATTTTCATACTTCTGCACTGTTTCATTTGTTGAAATGGCATTACTTAATTCTGTAAATTCATCAACTGTTTTTGTTTGCATAATTTTATAAGCCAGTGAGAATAATGTGCAACGATCAGCTTCCTCAATTCCGTTTTCAGGATTCCACAGCCAGCGCCACAATTCATGGGACATGTTATAAGCACACAATAAAACAGCAGTTTCAGGATACACAGCTTTTAAACTATTTTGCAAAGCATTGTCATTTGCAGTCAGAAATACTTCAGGGCCTTGTCTTCCAAATGAACCAAATGCTTTATCAGGCAATGTGTCAGCAAGCAATTTAAAACCAGCAGTTAGAATTTCCTCAGTATCTGATGTAGTTATGAGTAATCCAAGAGGTAAACCTTCTGTACAGCTGTATGCCATTATGACATACACATAACATCGACACCTATCTAAATACCCAGAATTATCTACGAATACAACTTCTCCCGATGCTTTCATAGAATGCGCTCTTTGCATTAATGGGGTAGCTAGCACTACAATTATATTATCATCAATAGTAGTCATGGTAGCACTTCCTTTAGATGCATTTATATCTTCAATTTCTTCTTTTAAGATATTTACTATTTTAGTATCATTCCAATCAAATTCGTCAGAAAAATTTAAATGAAATTTTGTCAACCATTCTAGACTGGGACAAACATATGCATCACTTAAAACTTCTTCGTACTCATCAGTATATTCTTCAAACAAATCTTTCTGGTGAATGCTGAGGGCCATATCAATATCGTAACCACCTTTAAACATTTCAATGAACTTTTGCTTAACAACAGTTGATACTTCCTCGGATGGAACTGTTTTTGTCTCCATAGTATTAGAACCAATACTGTGATTGTGGTGATGATAAAGCACTACATTGCATGGGTATCTTATAGTTCCTGATTGAGCATCTGGTTTGCTAAATCTGAAAAATCAAGAGATTTATATTTTATTCTCACTGTTGCTACTGCAAAGATGAGACCACAAGTTCATGGGAGCAATATATACATCAAGAATATGGTATTAAAACTTGCACTACTGTTGCTACATAAATAACATGGGTTTATGGCAGCAGTATGATTCTGTTAGAGTAATCATACTGCAGTATGTTACCCAAAAATATGATTACCGTGTATTGTTCAGATAAATAAAAAAAGGTTAGGCACAATACTTACAGGTAAGTAGTAAATAGTTTTAATTTTCAGTATTAATTATGCCTTTGTATTTGTGAATTTCAGAAATTAATCACTTGAAGGAGTTACATTCAAAAGATCAACATTGTGTCGAACTGACATCAGCATACGACTTGCATGATCAAAGAGAAATTATGAAAAACATTTTTTCAACCAATATAAAATACAAAATGATTTAAAATAATTAATCCAATTTCAAAAGAATTGAAATTTATGTATACAAAAGGGCAAGTAGTAGATAAAAAAGATTGAAAATTATCAAAATTTTACTTACAAGCGTTATATACCACATATACAGAACAAAGAGACACTCGTACAGGATGATCTGATTTCAGATAAGCATTAGTTCCATACCTATTAATTGTGATGAATCTGAAATACATCAGATGAAGAAGGAAATATAAGAGTTTAAGAATATCATCAACATGCTGATCTTGTTTTCACTTCCTTATAATTACAGGAAGGCTTGTAATTAAGAAAACTTATGGGTATCATATTTCAATGAAAAATCCATTTTGACTGCTCTCAAATCCATTTGAATGATATCTTTTGGTGAACCTGTACATACAGACAGAATAAAGGATTCGTTTTCCCAAAACAGATTATAAAATGGATTACGAAGAAACTTTTTTTTGTCACATGTATCTCATAACTTAAAATTGAGTAGCCTCAGAATGTTGAAATTTTGTATGTGGGACTGCCAAAACATGCAGCTGTACACCTCACTTTTTTGTTGCAATCAGCTACACACACACATATATATATACATCGCACTGCTATACGGCTTGGTGAGCTCAGTTTTTTTTTTTTTTTTTTTTTTATTTATATGTTGGTAAATTGTCTTTTTTTTTGGGGGGGGGCTTTAGAAGTGACTGAATTATGTTGTTCTTATGTTCTGGTTAAGGTTGTTTATGCCTGTAATTAATCTACATGCAACAGTTGTAGAATTATCAACAATGTAAAAGTTGTTTAAATGGTATTAAGCCTAATGAAGTAAATGAAGACCAATGACTTTCAATTTTGTGCTTTCTTATGTTCCGGTTAAGGTTTTTTATGCCTTTAGTTAATCTGCATGCAACAGTTATAGAATTATCAACAATTTAAAAGTTGCTTAAGTAGTACTAAGCCTAATGAAGTCAACATTTATTTACATTTGAAACTCTTATAGAACAGTGAATTAAGTCACTTTGTGCACTGAAAAGTATGTCTTCCTGCCCAATGGCCGAATTGCTCATTTAAGAACAGAAACTCTAATTTTAATTGTAAAATTTTTTAAAAAACTGTTAACTGTATTTGATGTTTTTCTGCATTTCACAGTTTCTAATGAAGATGTTGCAAGTTTTTATGTATGAAGCCTTGTCGTGAAGTGAGAACTGAATTAATTGAATGAGAAATATATGTCTAATGAAATGCAACAAAAAATGTGTATAATTTAATAGGATGTAAAGGGAAATTATATGGTGTCCACATCAGATTTTTTTTAATGAAGTGCTTCTGCAGACTCAATATAGACTTGCTATCTTTGTTTTAACAGCTGGTTTCAGACATTAACAGTTCTTACAAAATGCAGCTTATTCCTTCAGGGATATGTCTGCAAATCTTTGCTAAAACTATATGATTTTAAAACTGTTACTGCAGAGATAACACTGATTCATAGGATCTTTATATACATCAAGAGTATAATTACCTTTTTTTTATTATTTATGTAATTAAAAAAACATTATGCAAGATATTTAGAGGTAACACTTGGCCAGCTTTCATTCCTAGTATTGGATATCCCTCCATATTTGTAAATTTCAGATATAAATCACTTGAAGAGAATTGACACGATAAAAGAAGTTTTGATGATGATCTAATAATGACTAACTGGTTCAATACACTTATGTCATCTTCACAGACAGATGCATATGATTGATACTGCATAGAGTTAGCATCAACATGCGGTGGATATTTCATAATGTAGCCAAGAATTATAATTGAAACGGTACATAATCAAGAAGAAAATCATATGATTAAATTATTATTTTTTAGGGTACCTTTAAAACCAATGATCCATGTCAGTAGAAAGGCTGCCAGTTCTATGGAATGTTGGTCCTATGCCACATTCCCATTTGAAATACAGTCAATCATTTTGAACTTTTCTGTCATACATATTTTAAACAGCCAAATAAATACTTTAGAACAGGTTTAGCTCAAAACCCATTCACTTTTCACAATGCTTTTTTTATAGATGTAGAAAACTGCACAAGACAAAGACTTAATATTGTGTGTTTGGCTGTTGAAATGAATCTAAAGCCAGGAGTGGGCAGTTTCAAAAGCAGGCATGGATGTCATGAGGCTACACAAAATAAATTAATAGTATCTACAATTAGCAGCTAATCAAAACAGAAGAGAAAAACTGCGAGCACAGATAATCGGCTGTTCTACAAAAACCCAAGGGTTTCTCATCTTCCTATTATATACAAACTATCATAAAAGCCTGGATGACAAATTCTAAGTGACTGCTTAAAAGAATTCAACAAACCTATGGGTTTGAAGAAAAGAAAAATTCTTCTTTTTATTGATAATTGTAAGGCTTATTCTAATTTGATTTCTTTAGCAGATGTGATAATTTTCACCTTCAGACACTACATTTCAACTACTACACCTTGATCTTGGGATCATCTACTGCAATGGCTTCCAAACTTTTTCCTTTCATGTATACCTTAATAAGACATTTTTAGACTCTATGACTCTGTTCCAGTACTCTTCCAATGTGTTTTACTATTTTATTATAAAATTAATAGACTGTAAATAACAAAGGAAAATATAATAATAGAAAGACTGATTATTGTTTATCTTAAATAAACACATAGTTAACACAGTTTTAAATCAAAAGATAGTACAGTCAAAAGTCTTTAATCCGGAATGATTTATAATCCGGACCTCAAAGCTACAAACTTTCTGCGCATGCGTCAACGCATGCGCATAATACCTTTATGCATGCGCGTTTAATGTATAACAGACGGTAAAAGCTAAGCTAAAATTATCTAATTATCTATTTCAGTTAATGCTGCAGATTGCGTTGTTCCTTAATCTTCTAATTGGATCCTGGTTATTATTATTTTTTTGCAGAGTGTTAGAGCAATTTTATTAAAGTAAGCTTGAACTTTCGATTATGTCAAAAAGAATTTCCGATTCTTGAGCTACCAAAGGATCTACAAAGCAAACGCATGTTTCGATGTGCATCAAACAAAAAGTGGAATTGCTGCAAAAAATGGATAAAGGCATATCCTTTGTTTGGGGGGGGGGTGCGCAATGAACTGGAATTTTATCTATCAGCACTATCCTTATCTTCAGAGCAGATGTTTTTATTTTATTTGGTTTATAATTCTTTACTAAATGTAGTATCAGATATGATTTAAATTAAATTCCTCGTCATTATAAATATTACGAATACACATCAAATAGTTTTCTGGTTGCAATTTTCTAATTTCGACTAAGCGTAATGTATGCTTTACGCATGCGCGGGTTGAATGAAATGTTTAATAAAGTAAACAAATAAATATTATGCTTTTTTTTTTGTAAATTTTGATACCTTTTAGATCATAACTGCTCTTTATTTCATAAATTACGGTTTCATATTTTTAATTTTATAATTTCTGCATGCCATCTTACCAGATTTAAACTGATGATCATAATCCGGAAAAACTGATAATCCGGAATCGCCGAAGTCCCGACGAGTCCGGATTAAAGACTTTTGAATGTATTAATGATCTGTAGTTATTTTGATTATAAGAGTTCTGGTAATACTTTTTTTTTAATTTGTACACTGCCTAAGCAGTTGCACCCCACAGATTGGAAACAACTGATCTAAAGTTTGAACGTAAGATACAGATGAGAAATGAACTGAAATCATGCAAACACTACTGACAAAGGCAATCACCATTCCACCATCGATCTTACGGATACAACGAAATTGATAGACTATGTTGTTAGCACTCTAGAACAGTGGTGCGCAAACTGGGGGTCGCCAGAAGTTTTTTTGGGGTCCCCAAATTTTTATGAAATGCATTATGCCTGCATGTTGCATACCATACAGTGTACATATAAAGAGTGAAGCGCCGTTCCTCACTGTTTAATTGCAATTTCATGCTGTCTGCTCTTTCTTTGACTGTAATGCATAATGTATGTAAAGTGTGAAGACGGTAGATAGCGCCCTCTTCGTGGTAATTCCCCAGTTTTACTGAAAAGCGGCTATTTGACTAGACTAGACATTAACTGCAGCGAAAGGTGAAAAATTCGCTTCCGTGATCAGCCAATCAGATGGCGAGATACGCGGTGTATCTGATAGTCAGAGTGAAGACGTGAAGTGTTTGCATGAAGTTGTAGCATGTAGCAGTTGACCTGCAATTGTTTTGGTTTATCCTCGAGTTTTATCATGTGATGTTGTGTAATTATGATGTTTTATATTTTTATCGGGCTTTGCTACTCTTTGTTATCAGGTATGTACTATCATTAGAGAATGATCTCTGTTAATTTTATTGAATTTCTCAAAAAAAAAAGAAAAAAAAAAAAAAAAAAAAAAAAAAAGATAAAATTTATATATTATTTGTTTTAGTTTAAATAATTTTAACCCCTATCTTCATAATGGATAAATGGGTAATACGTACACTAGGTACATCTTCAGCTAACAAAGGAACAAATACTGATGAGGAGTCGCAAAATACTGAACTAAATGCCCGAGCTAAAAAAATAAGAAAATACAGTGAGGAATTTATTAAGTATGGTTTTACATTTTGTGTTGTTGATGATGAAAAACACCCGATATGTGTCATTTGCAACGAAAACTTAGCAAATGAGAGCATGAAAACAGCTAAATTGAAAAGGCATCTGGAAACTAAACATAAAGAACTTCAAAATAAACATGCCGATTTTTTTCAAAGACGAGCTGAAATCTGAAAATTCAAAGTGCACATTTAAAGAAATTTACAACAATACCTCAGAAAGCATTACAAGCTTCTTTAGAAGTTTCTTATCTAATAGGAAAAACAATGAAACCCCATACAATTGGAGAATCCCTTATCCTTCCTGCAGCAAGATGGCATAAATTATGCATGGCGATAAATATGGAAATGAACTAAAAGCAATACCATTATCAAGAGATACAGAGTCTCGGCGGATTTCCAAAATGTCACAAATATCGAGTCAGAAGTCATAAAACGCATACAAAATTCATCTGTATTTGCTTTACATCTGGACGAGACTACTGATATAACTAAAATGTCACAACTAATTATTTACGTTAAGTTTATTTTTAATGAAGATATAACAGAAACATTTTTATGTTGCAAAAGTTTGGAAGAAAAAGCAACTGGAGAAATAATATTCAAAGTAATAAATGAATATTTTGAAACAAAGTCCCTTACCTGGGCAAACTGTGTTGCGGTTTGTACTGATGGTGCTGCAGCATTAACAGGTTCTCGAATAAAGGGCTCAGAGGCTTAATTAAGAAGATGGCGCCTCATATGGTATTTAATCACTGTATGATTCATCGGCAAGCTCTTGTTGCAAAAGATATGGATGAAGAGTTGCACAACATATTACAAGACGCTGTTAGTTCAATTAACTACATTAAATGCAACACCCACAACAGCCGTCTCTTTTCAATACTTTGCAATGAGATGGGCTCAACGTATGAGAGATTACTGTTACACACCGAATTCAGATGGCTTTCAGTGGGAAAATATACGACGGATGTTTGATTTGAGAAATGAAGTGTACATGTTTTTAATCAAAAAGAAAACATAGATTGGCAAGTTATTATATCAATGAAGTTTGGCTAGTTGAAGCATGAGCATATTTACATTGATGAGATAATTCGAAACACTTGCAGCCGACTTAAATTTGAGGCTTGCAGGGTGAGAATTGAACTGATTCATAACTTCAGCCAGTACAAAAGTTCAAGCTTCTTAAAATTATAAGCTTAGTCTCTGGCAAGCTGAACTGAATAAAAACAACACCGACGTGTTCCCTTGCTTTAACGATTTTATCAAGGGAAATAATATAGATATATTTACATTTAAAAACATCAAAAACATCATTTCCAATCACATTGAAAAGTTAAAGGAAAATTTTTCGAGAAGAGATTCGAGGATTTTCCTGAAAACGATTTTGGTTGGATTCGTGATCCATTTTCCTTTGACATATGCAGTTCAACTCTTCAAATTATTGAGAAAGAGCAATTGATAGATCTAATTAGTGATTAAACTCTTCGAAATCAATTTAAGATGCAGCCTTGCCGAAAATTTTGGCTATCCGTGGAAAAACAATATCCCGTTTTATGCAAGAATGCCATCAGAGTGTTAATACAATTTTCATCAACGTATTTATGTGAAATTGGATTTAGCAAACTAGTTTCAATAAAAACTAAATACCGCTCGCGTTTAAACCCTGAAGATGATATGCGAATTGCAATTAGCAACATACATCCAAACATCGATGAGATAATTAGAAACTTGCAGCCTCATTAAAGGGCAATTTACTGATTTTTGTGTTATACAAAAATTATTTTCTTAAAATTATAAATAAAATTAATATGAGTCAGATATGATGATGTTTTTATTCGATGAAACGAAAGAAATGCGTGAAATATACATCGTATTTGTGAACATTTATCTCTAGGGATCGCCAAAAATTTTCTCTCTACAAAAGGGATCGCAGTCGAAAAACGTTTGCGCGCCACTGCTCTAGAAGATGGAATCCTACGAAGTGCCTTTGATCATTCTGCAATAAAACAGAAGTGACCTGGACCAACCACTACTGATTTCAAGCATATCAAAAAGACAATACAATGAAAAATATTCCATGTCTGGTCAAGGATTGTAATGGTTTGCACAATCAGCCTTTGCTAACTATAACTGTCATAAGTGAGCGATACAAAATCATTTAAATATGCCTTTGAAGATAACCATAAACAATAATTTAAAAAAAATCTAGTACATGAAAAAAATATTTGATATTGTGCGATTACACATACAGTCAAAATATGTTTCTGAAATGCAATATTGAGAAAATATTCCCAAACCTGAATTTAGGATCTGCTCTTATTCGAACCAGTAATCTTGCTGGACATGGCTTTTCACTTCTGGAAGGCTGATCAGGAACAGACCCTTGTACACAAACATATTCAGCCTATGAATGAAATATTCATTTAAAGAGATAAGTTTTATTTAATTAATAATGGCACAAAACAATATATCATAAAAACTGTCAAAAAATATATTTTTAAAATTTTTTAAAAAAAAGCAGCGTTTTTCTGATGAAAGTAGTTATAGGCATATACAATACAAAGTCCGAAACTCGGACATCCAATATCCCGACCTCTGGACCACCAGATACTTTTTGTTTTTTTTTTAGAAAATTTTTGTGAAAAGGAAGAAAGAATAGCATTTCAAGAAGAACACCTCGCTTTAGCATATGCTTAACGCTTTACGCATAATAGACATTTTTCCATAATAAAGCATGTGAAGAGTCCTAATTCTTTATTTACGCATTACATGAAATACCTTATTGTTGAAGACATGAAATCATTTGTTAATCCATGTTTTTGTTCAGCATACACCTGAAAGTGAAACATCATACCAAAGTTCATTGCTAATTTTAACATACTGAACAAATTATGATCCTGAAGCCAACCAGGCAAATCATTTATCATTATTTTTTGCTTTTATCACCACAACTATCAGCTCTTGGCAGCTCGAGAAACGACTCAGGTAGCAATGTTTAAAACAATTAAAAAAAATATATTAGTAATTGAACATCAAACAGTATGGTAATCTTTTGTGTTGACATTATGCTAGGCAAAGATTAAAAACTTCAGCTAATTGTGCTGAGAAGTGTTTAGTGTGTTCATGAAGAGAAATTAAACAGAAATTTCTTTCTATATGGGAAAAAAAAAGTAAATGATACTCATAAGCCAAAAGATTAAGAATAACTGATTCATTGTTCTAATAAACATTACGGAATTCATTTACTTATGACCCAGATAAGCCTTAAGCATATGTGGGAAACAGACACAAGTATAATAAATAACTAAAGTAACATAATTCAGGCTTAACTTCCTCAGAACGAAATAGATTCAAGATAAAAATTCAGTAAAACAACACGTCTTTAGTTGACAATCTCATGATATATTAACAATAGTGTATATTCAATGCTAGCTAAGCTTTATGATGATAGACATGAATTTGAATGTTTTTAAGATACTGTAAACAAAAAGCAAAATTTTCCAATTAATGATATTTGCAAACAAACATGAAGAAATCATAATAAATAGAAAAGATATTATTAAACATTCCATTGCCATAATAATGCCCCGTCAATCAGTCAACTAACGGATGGCGAATAAATCTGGAAAATATTACTACTGATGGTGAAGGAAGGTTTTTTAGAATGAAAATTTAATTGAATTCTCAACATGGCAATTATAGAACTTAAAAAACGGAACTTTGTAACTGAAAAAGAAATTATGTCTATCTATAACATTAAAGAGAAAGTATTCAAAAAAAAAAAAAAATAAATACTGAAATTTTTCTGGTATGTTTTGATTCTCTTAAGGTTAGAAATGCTTCGTTATTTCATAAATAACTACTTCATATTTTTGATTTTATGATTTCTACATAATCGTGCTAGATTTAAATTGATGATCTAAAATCTGGAAAATTCTTAAATTCTGACAAGTCTGGATCTTGGATTTGTACTATAATACTTTTCATGGCTTAGCTACAAATGAAATGCATAATTAATGTTTATAACTATTTCAGAAACATAAAAATTACACATTAATGATAATTAAATTAGAAAGAAAAAGAAATTGCTAATGACAGAATCGTAACTTAAAACAGATATCAAAAGAAAACTTACCTTATATGCTAAGTTCTTACTAGTGGTAGGATAATTCCGCAATAAAACGTATGTGACTTGAGCCAGCTTTTCATGAGCACTCAACCATTCTGTAAACTCTTCTTTGCTTACGAGTGGAATCCTTGCTTCAACTACATAACCCTTCCGATTATCAGACTCAATATCTCTTATAGTTAATAGGCGTGCTGGCCATTCAGCAGGAAATAATGTCTATCATAATTTAAAAATAAAATTAGTTACAAAATTGAACAACTTTAATTAACAAAACTATACAAAACACTGAAATGAAAAAATATGAGTACTTTCTGATTATCCGCATCCCCACCAAACAAACATGTTGGTGACTCATTATTCGGCCAGCTAAATGTACAAAAGGCAACAGCCATTTCCAAAATGGCAGTGCATTAAGAATTCCACCCAAGAGCAAGCAATCAATAAAATTTAAAAAGCAAGAAATACTTTTCGAGTGGTAATAAAACACTAACTTCCTTCTTTTTGAGAAATCCTTCTTTTTTGTATTGCTTTCTCCGCATGTACACAGCAATTTGTTTTTGCTTAAAAAATATCAGCGAATTGTGTAAATTTGACATCATGCACTGGTTAAAACAGACCTGCGTTATGTACATATTGGGGTTAATATTTAAATACTTTTTGGCAGCATCATGGGGTGTTACATAGCTATTCTGGTGAAATATTGCTTCTTTTCGAAAACAGTTTTTTGTAAATTTTTGGGTAGGATGCAGATAATCAGAAAACATCAAAACAGTTTCCAAATGCATTGCACAACACATAAAAAATATGCAACTACTTCTAATTTAGCTTAATTAATATAGTGTTTCCTTTCAACAACAATAGGTTAATAAAAAGAAATAACCATAATATTTGACAAAAATGAATAATAACTGTACTTTACTTACTTTAAAAGCATAAGTATATTTTTTTTCATTTTTTAAGTGTTTTGTATTTTGAAGCACAACTTGAGCTTCTTCACATTCTTAAGACAAGCAGCAGTTACAATTTATCTAATATATCAGTTACTTATTCAAAACTACTTTTCTGATGAATTAACCCTCTGAGCGATCCAGGTTTTTGGATCTGTAATGAAGACCTATATGTAAAGAGCCTTTATTAGCTAAATTTGTATATTTATCTATTTTAGACTCTATTTTCATAAACTTGCATTCATTAAGATGACATTTATTTTATTAATGAAAGTAAGAAAGCAAAATATTTTAAATTATAAGCTAGAATACACCAAGTAACAAAAAATCTCATGACCAGATAAAGCTGGCCATGCCGCTCAGAGGGTTAAAATTATGATAAACATTTTTTAGCATAGCATTTATTTAATTTATCATACGTTAAATTTAAAATTCACAAACAATTTAGTTAAATTTAATAAATACAGAATTAAAACATTATTAGCAATTGCATTACTTGTTTAGAATTAATTTTAACTTAGCAGAGAAAATAATAACCACTAAAAGTATCTGAAGAACAGAAAACTGCATTTATTTAAATCTAGTTATTTTGCATGTTAAATGATACTGTTAAAATATAGTACACATCTAAGACAGCTGATCTCATTTTACTTAACCTTCCAGCGTGCGCTTATGCGTAAAATTTACGACAAATTCAGTTTTTATTGCACATTTTTCACATATCGAAGCTGAGACGTCTGAAGGTAATTTCTATTTCTCTTTTCTACACTTTCCCACATCATGGAATGTGCTAACAGGAAGTCATTTGACTTTTTTTTTTTAAACTGGGCTTTTGTGCTACATGGCAGCTTTTTCATAAAAGTTACAACACGCATGTGGTCATGTTTTAAAATTCGGAATATATTTTTTTCTCAAATATTTTGTAATTTTGTGTTATTAATTGCCATGTATTATTTTTATTTGAATACATTTGGCTCTGTAAATTTTATATCGGTTTTCATGGCAAAAAAATATGTTCAACCAGCTATTTTGCTCGGATTCTTCAAGAATTATCTGATGAAGGAAAGAAAGACAAAGAAACCTTTGGATGGAAGAACAATAGCGATTTCCATTCTTTATTTTCTTTTATTTCTATTTTTTAGAAATAAATAAAACATTAAAGTTAGTTTAAAGTGCGTTTTTGTAAACAGTAAAAAGTAAATTTCCTTATAGATGTAAGTAATGCTGAACTTACTTTTTTCCCTACCAAGTTGTTTTCCTTTTTTATTGTCTATACTTGTCTTTGATGAATATTAAAATTAGCTTCGATTTTAAAATATAATTATTAAATAATAAATTTAAAATTTTCTATAATGAACTACATCATTGAATTTCCATCTCACTAACATAAGAACTTAAAAATAATTTACCTATATTTGAATGTGATATCATTTGTATTTTGCAATAATAAGATTAATATTTTATTTCTTAACAAATTTATTATCAATATTCACAAATTTCTGTCGTTTTTCGTGACAAAAACGGTAAAATAACGGATGTCGTAAAAAATAAGACAAGCGCATGCTCATGTAACATTGCTGAGCATGTGTGCTGGAAGGTTAAAAATAATTTGTCCACGGTGTCTTCGACAGAATATAAAGACCTATTTAACTACTAGATTTGAATTGCTTGTGAATCAGTAAGTAGGTGTTATATTTCAATACATACATATTTTTTACATGCCAATTAGATTTCTCCTATTTTTATTTACAAATTTAAATACTATGTAATCAAAGTTTCTTTATTAAAAATGCTAAACACAAAGTGTTAATGCAACTAGAAGTGACAGAATTTTGATATTGACAGACATAATAACTACAGTAGAAGTCCAGAAATCTGCAATGCTTGTGACCAGAGGCTGTACGAATTTCAGATTGGAAAAGATAAATCATAATATTCAGACTAAAATTGCAAAATAAATAAATCTAAATTATTTAAACTAGATTTAAATAATCTAGATTTATTAAATTAGTAATTACAGTAATTAAATTATTATATACATTATTACAATAATATACATATACAGTATTACATTAATTTATTGTATGCCTTAAATTATAATACAGGGTGATTCTAAATTGTTTTTACAAATTAAGAGTGGTGATAGTACTCATCCAGATGAGCAATAATTACCATAGAACATAGGGTCACATTCCACTCTGAACTTAAACAGTGTGGGAGAGCGAATGAATGAGACCAAAAGTTGCACAATCAGTTTAGGAAAAACTCACAGAGAGTGCACAAAACGAATAAAACTGAAAACTTGGCTTTCGAGTGTTAATTCGAGCTCAGACTTTGATAGCAAACACTCAAACTTTGGTTTGCAAAGCCTCTATCTCGCAAACAATTGCAACAAGTTAATTATCTAATCAACGACTGCATACTATCAACTCCAACTTCTGCTGTATGCCGAGATTAGCATGAAAGTTCACACTGCGTTACGCCTGTCAGAACTTAGTGTTCCATACAAGGGCGCTTCAAGTAGAATGAGTACAGTACAGTAAGGCCAGGAGGACAGGACAGAAGATAGCGAAGGGGGAAAAAACTGCTACCTTGATACTTGATATCACGGTAGCAGTTCCCACCTATAGATAATTTACCCCTAATAATTTAGGTAATTAACTTGTTGCAGTCGTTTGTGAGGTTGAGACCTTTCCAACCAAAGACGTGCATTTGAGAGTTTGCTATCAATGTCTGAACTCGAATTAACACTCGAAAAACGAGTTTTCGGTTTTATATATTTTGTGCACTCTCTGTGAGTTATTCACTAAACTTGTAGAGACATTAGGTATTTTTTTGAAAGCAGACAAGATGAAAAATAGCAAACGCCTTAGCCGGGAATCGAACCACAGACCGCTGGAATACCGGTCCAGCGTGCAGAACCACTACACCACGAAGAACGCTAGGAAAGTGGGAGAAATAAACTGATCATGCAACTTTTGGTCTCATTCATTCTCTCTACCGACACTGTTTAAGTTCAGATTGAAATTCTAATATTCCTCTTTTCTGCATCTCGGAGTGCACTGCGACCCAATGTTCTATAGTAATTATTGCTCATCTGGATGAGTACTATCACCCCTCTTAATTTGTAAAAACAATTTAGAATGACCCTTAACATATATATTTATTGTATTATATTGTTACGAAATGTCCAGGCATGGTAAGATAGCTTCCCCGCGAAACAGGATTAGGGTTGCCAGAAAATGGCAAGAGAAGGCAGGGTTGCCACATTTGACGAGAAATCACCCATTTGGCAACATAATTGGCAATCTGCTATGGACAGATGGAGAACCTTCTGGAACGAATTCTTAGCCCAGAATGTGCTCGAACACAAGGTAAAAGCCATATAAACCCTGCTGGTACGCAGAAAGTTAGTGTCTCATCTAGCGAGTTAGTTAGTCCGTGCGGAGTCTATCGAGAGTTGGTCTTCATGTGCACCGAAATAGTCTCTTAGTGTATTGCCGTTAGTGCATCGTCGAGAGTGTGAGCTCCGGGAACGACTGAACTGGGGAGTCAGGAGTGTTACTCTAGGGTATCGTCGAATGCATCACGAGATGTAGCGTGGAGAGTCTCGAGAACAACCGAACAGAGTCAGGAGCTGTACTCTGGTACTTTGCCATGAAGCTGTCGTCACCATAATATAGCCTGGCTGTGTCGCTGATTGTTACAGCATGTGTATAGTAGTTCTCCGATGACTGTAAAAACGTGATTTTGGAGCTGTCCTGGGAAATACTGGCCTATAAAGTGTATTTCGATATTCCATCAAGTGAGCATCATTATTCACTCCAAATCTTCACGAACCTCATACAAATGTAAGGAAGAAGAAAATAACATAACAATTTTATTTATTTATAATAGAGATTACAGGGATATTTAAAAGCATTAAGGACATGTATAATAAAGACATATAAGGGATATTAATAAAGGATAAAATATTTCTTTTTTTTTTTTTTTTTTTTACATGCTTCAAACATTTTTCTGGTAGAAGTTTAAAACTTTACAATGCTTCATAGTAAGTTTTTTTTTTTTTTTTTTTGTTTTTTTGTTTGTGTGTAAATTACATAGATTCATCATCTCTTGCTCTGTGACACAGCTCTGTTGTTCTAAATATATTAGGTATTTTTCACCATTTTCCAAACCGTCATTAAAAGATATTTTCTCACTCCGATCAAGCTCACTATCTGTGTTCGATGTCGGAATCATTTTCTTGCTGTGACGAGTTCAAAACAG